CTGCAAATCTGATGATTGGAGCTATTGCGCAGGCGCTGCCGGATGGGGAGAAAATCCATCTGGAACATGATCCGGAGCTGGAAGATGCTAAATGGTTTGAGATGGAGGAGATTAGGGAGGCGTTGATGAATGGGACTAGTCCGTTGGGGGAACCGGCGAGTGTGGGGTATAAGGAGGGGAATCTGAGATTACCGTCTTTTACGGCGATTGCAACGCAGTTGATTAAGGCGGTGGCGGATGGGTTTTTGGGTGAGAGTCCTAAGATTTGAGGGGATGGTGAAGTGATGGGATAGGAGGGGTCTTTTTGTTGGTACATAGAAATCACATGAGATAGATTTACAAGGTAGTATAGTACATAGATGAGGACCATCATATCATGATAATGAAGAAGATTATAAATATCCCGAGCTATCAAACATGCTAGAACATACAAAGGTCACGGTTCTCGATAATTATTGCCAAATACAGTACACAACAGGTAAATGAAAATTTGAGAATGATGTATGGCTTGGCCTGTGAAGTGGAAGAAGTTAGTCGTGATAATAGAATTAGGTGGGCGGATTGGGTGGGAGATCATGCGGGGAAGGGATGGTGGCTCGCTCCACAACTTACAGGTAACAAAGTTGGAAGCGAACCGTATTTCGACGAAGCCAAGCTACATACATTCGAGTCGTGATCACTTAAACATACTAATATACAAATATAAAACCAAAATAAACTCCATTTTCCAGATTCTTCCAATCATATAATCTGTTTAGCTTCTGACATAATCTACAGCTAGACCAATACAGTTCACTCCAAACTCTGTTAGTTGAGATGAGACAATACCGGTACTGCACAGTATGAATCCACTACCACATGGATATTGGTTCCCCTTTTCTCTGGGATCATCTCGACTTCTGGGCGTAAAGACATTTCTGGGAAGTATATGATGCGATGACGCTCGAGTAACTTTACTCGAGTCCCTAGGTAGTAGGTATTTATACTCTCATCACCCTGAACAGGGGAAATCATGAGCCACCGTTACTTCAACGATCAAGGATCAAATAGAATATCAACAAAAGCAGACTACCAGTGGTATTACATTTGAGATTGTATCATTATTGTTTTATCCCAGAGATTATGTTGTACAGGATGGAAATAAAGACGTGTAAGTATCTCCTGAAGTCAGACCAGACGCCTCCCACCATTTATCCGCATATAAATATAACCAACACCATTTTGCGTCTATCAGCAATAAATCTCTACTCTGCAAGCTTTTTCTTCGCCTGATCCCTCGCCAACTTCTTGAAGAAAGTGTTGCTCTCTGCTTTATTCTTCTTCAAGTCCTTGTTTCTGCTCCTGTTTTGCTCGACATACGCCATATCCTGCCCACCAGCCAAATCAGCAAGTTTACCTGCAGTCCTTCTTGCGTTTGACTTCTTTTTACGGGATTTATCGTCGTTTCGGTGAAACAAGTCATCGTTAGGTTCTTCCTGATACTTTGCCTCATCCATATTATGGATCAAAACCTTCTCTAATAGTGCTCTTTGTTCGGGGAGTGTGTTGTATGCAAGACCAGGAAGACCCTCTATGCCTTGGAGATGAGTGATAGCCTTAAACGCATATCCCTGGTCAACAAGGAATGCTTGACGTTTTGACGAATAGTACATCTCTTTGGTATCTTTGGAGACTAGAGAATAGAAGAATGCATTGAAACCTTCATCGTTTCTACGTTTCGCTCTGAGAATTCTGCCCAGTCTTTGAGCTTCTTGTCGACGAGAACCAAAGTGAGAGGAGATTTGGATAAGGCAAGTTGCTTCAGGTAAATCGAGAGAAGTGTCACCAATCTTTGAAAGAAAGAGTGTATTGATATTGGGGTTGTGTTGGAAATTCTCAAGAATTCGAAGACGTTCGGTCTGAACTGTGCCGCCAAAAATGAAAACTTTTCCTAATCTTTGAGCATAGACGTGCAAAGCGAAGACATTGTCAGAAAACACGATGATCTTGTCGCCACGCTTCTCATGGTAGTCTATCAGAAATTGACAAGCCTGGAACTTCCGAGGATTCATTGTAGATATCAAGCCCTGCTTTCGCTTGGATGCTTTCAAATACTCCGAGTGAAATTCAGTAGTCATCGGGCACCAAACTTCTGCACATTGGACCCTCGCAATATGACCTTGCGCAGCGAGTTCCATCCAGTTGGCTTCGTACAACTTCGGACCAATCAAAAAGTTCAAATCATCGATCTTATCATCTTCACGAAGTAGTGTGGCCGTCAAACCTAATTTTGCATGGGTTTTGATTGACTGTGTCACTTTTCGAAAGATGTTGGCGGGGACAACATGCACCTCATCTAGAAGCATCAATCCCCATTCTCTGTTCGTCAAGAAATCCATCATTTTTTGAGCATCAAAAGCTCGTGCACGTGTCTGTGTAATCATAGAATATGTCGTTACAATGATACCAGTACTCCTCGTGAACTTCTCTTTGTGATCCGAAGTAAATACTGCAATATCGGCTGGATTGATATTTGACCACTTCAAGAACTCCTGTCGCCATTGAACAACGGACATAGAACTCGTGCAGAGCACGATGACACCCTTTTTAATTGTGCAAGCCGCGGTGATACCAACTAAAGTTTTTCCAGCACCACAAGGCAACACGATAATACCACTCTTAGCTCGGCCGTTACCAAACATCTTACTCAAACTTTTTTCCTGGTAATGTCGAATTTGGGCGCTAGGTCTCAAATCAATTTCGAGATTTGGGTTGATGGTATCGTTACGGAAATCATATTCTTCGAGTACAGGCAATGTAAGCTCCAGACATCGCTTCTGTACAGCTTCTTTCCCATTATCGGCAATTTGAAAAGAATGCACCGCCTCTTCTTCGTCTTCATCATCGTCCTCTTCGTTGAGCTTCGCATAGATATCCTCCTGTGTTGGATCCTGTGTTGGATCCTGTCCTTCTTGTGGTCTATCTGTTGCGCCCTGATGTCTATCCGTAGCCTGCTGTACTCCAGCTGCGTTTTTCGTCCCCGGAATGACCAAGCCACCTAATTTCGGTGCTAGGCCTGTGGTAATTTCGGTCGTTCCGTGAACTCTGATCGGACCTATCACTGGATCTTTAAGGAGGCTTTGCAGCAGCTCTGGATCTGCACTTTCGACGTAATGCTTTGTATCCTTGAGGACCAGCTTGACTTTGCCATAGTTCTTAGTACAGCCGGTAATGAAAGATCTAATATTATCAGGTACGGGCATTTTCGAAAGTCGATCAAGAACATTAATGATATCATTTGGGTCCAAGCCAACTGATACAGCGGCATACAAACTGTGAGGCGTCAAAGCATATTCGTGTAAGAAGGTCGGTCGCGACTTGGGCTCTGCTATCGTAGTCAAAAAGTCTTGGGCATGCGCTGCCAGTGGCGAGAAACTTTCCAAAATAATGCGCGCCTTCTGCGGATCTATCCACAACGGTCTATTTGCGTGATCGGGTTTCAATGATAGGTATGAGAAGTCATTTTTGCCAAAATGATGACTGGCAGAATCCTTAATACATTTGATGTTCTGACTGGACATGTAACTTCCCACCGAGAATTTGTTTATTGTGCTTTTGATGTTTGCTTTCTCCTCCTCCGTAGCTTCTAAACCTTGAGAGTCAAGATCATCTATGGTCCCGTCTTGATGATACTCCTCATCACTGCCAACATTACTGCGAGGAGTTGCAGGTCCTGGTGTAGAGGCAGCAGAGTCTTTATTCGATTTGGTAGAACCTCGCACACCTGGACACCGTTAGTTATCATTAATTCATAGTAAAGCAAATGTAAAAGCGTCGTACTTGATACGGCTTTCCTCTTTGGCGGCATCTCGAAGTTCTTTCAAATATATTATACCTTTGGTTGTTTGATTAGGCGGAACAGATGGAGTTTCCTTTTGAATGGAGAAGCGCAAGGCTGAGTTGCTGAGTAATATGATTTTCACGCTAAATTGCCTGGTTCAGCCTGGCATTCATATGAAGCTGTAAATGGTACTGGTCCGACATTAAGAAAATCTTCCAGCGAAAAGAACTCCGAATCGAATCAAGCAAACGCAAACTCTCCAATCGATACAAAAACTCACAATCCGCATCATGTGGTAAGATTTAAGTCATTTTTGAACACTTTCAACGACCCTGACAGAATTCTAGTAAACATATTCTCAACGCGCAAGTTTCCATTCGATCCCCATGCTGTAAGAACCACCCCCCAAGCTAGTCTTTCCATACTGAACTCCAACTTAAGGTCGAAAATGGTTCGATTGCGCCGAATGTCACCTTGACACTGAAACCCACCCTCTGAGAAAAACAACAGAAATGGTATTACTCGCTTCCACACCCTGCTCTCCTCGACCCCTCGTACTAATGACAATGCAAGACATTCGCATGCAAGAAATGTAAGAAGGTGTTCCGAAAAGATTTTGCCGACGAGACGGAAGAAAGCGATGAATACTGTCCGCACTGCGATAATCATTATGTTATTGAGGCTCGAGAGCCAAAGCCGATGTTGAAATTCGAAGGCGAGGATATAAGGAAGGATAGTAGGATGATTAAGGATAATCGACTGGAGGGGAAAGAAGGAAGAACCATCTTTGATGTGGAGGAGGCAGCTAACAAATTGGGATGATACGATGCATTACGAACAGAGGAAGCAAAAAAGAAGTCTGAATTTAGCGGCATGAATATGGGAATTCGGGATCCAGCATAAAGGTTAAGAAGCTAATGTGCAGATATCAAAAATGTGAAAGTAGTTTCGCACACAATACTCTTTATGGACTTAGGGTGCATGAGCACGATCGAGGTTGTGTCATTTCGTCGCTCATTGCTATAGTACAGAGGTTCTATGAAGTGCAGAAAGTCATAAATATTACTCCACTTATTGGGCAGCAGCTTCATCAGGTCCTCTCGTCAAGATCGCAGTAGTACCTCCCGAACGACCACCCTTCTTCTTAGCAGCCTCCTCGGATTTCTCCTGCTCAATATCCTTCACAAATTTCTCAATATCCTCCACTGGCAACATCTCAATAACCTTGCCTGGTGCCATGATGGCAATCTCGATATTCTTCGCTCCAGTTTGCACGACCTCCAGCAATGACTTAATTGTCAATTTGATGGTAGCCTCCCGATCCATATCATCCTTGTGGTTTCTCTCTAGGAACTCTCGTACAGTCTTGCTTGATCTACCAATAGCATTGGCTTTCCTAAAAGCTTGTTAGAGTATATAAAAACCGGTAGAACAAAACCAACATACCACGCAGAGTAAATTCCAGATGGCTCGGTCTGGTATAATCTTGGAGTCTGATCATTGGGGTCAAATCCAACAATCAAGGTACTAATGCCAAATGGTCTAACACCACCACTCTGTGTATATCTCTGTTGCACACCAGCCACATACTTTGTGATGTATTCTATTGTAACTGGGTCTTCCACCGTAAGACGATGTGATTGTGCTTCTAATCTTGCCTTGTCGACCAAGATTCGTGCATCGGCATTGAGACCTGCAAAGGCTAGACCAACGTGGGTGTCGACGAGACCAATTTTCGATGGCGTAATACGGGTATCTTGCAACTTCATCGCGGAACGCTTCTCACATCCTAAGACAACAATATCACCGCCCTTCACTCCAACGGCGCATGTTCCTAGATTGATGTAAGCTATTGTCCGCCGATTGCTTGTAGCTGTCTCAAATACCTCTCTTAACAGCTTCGAGGGCATATTCGACTTGAAAAACATGGCCATCCGGACTGTGGCAGTTATCAGATTGGTTCCTTGAAGTATTCCAACTCGTAAACTAACCTGAAAACTAATATATGTTAGCTACCTCTCCATTAATTGATATACTTAGGTAAATAGCTTACCAGACAACGCTCTATCGTAACCTGAAGCCATGATTTATGATGATCTGAACCGTGAAGTGAGATTAAATAGAATTTTTGGGTATCTCAAAACTGTTCGAAGCTTAATGGGAAACACGAAAAAATAAGGATGAAGCTTGATGTTTGAACTGCAGGCAGCTCAGCATACGAAGCTACGCGACGGGAAGGTCCAACTTGAGCTTGTTCTTATAATCCTCAGGCACTCAAATTAGACAAGGCTGCATCCAAGACTTGCCCACCAAGGTGTTTATTGTTTATTTGCACGGGCCATGTCAGAACAAGGCAAAGTCACAGCCTTCCCAAATTTGGTCAAAACGCCCCGAGTTCCCTATGAACCAATTTCTCTTACAAAATCCCCGGGACAGTTTTTTTTCGATATCCTGAAAACTTCAAGATTTCAAATCTATAATAAAATATACACTTTTCCAAATAGCCCCAAAGTTGAAAGTTCACACAGACGTGCAACAAAACTTCTGGAAGAGGTGGACTAACAAGCTTTGATAAAGCTTGTATCAAATCGCCATTGCAACCCCCACTCCTGATTTCTTCTCTTAAGAAATTGGTGAACCTGCTCTAATTGACCGTCGCAAACATGGCAGTCCGATCACAATTTGCTCTTGCAGCTCGCGGAGCTCGAATCTCATCAGCATCATCTTCATGCTCTAAAATAAGACCATTACGATCATTAGTTCAAACTCGATGGCAAAGCACCGCGAGTACAGAAGGCAGTGAAGGAATAGCCAAAGGAACGACTAGCACATCGAAGACCATAAAGTTTACTTCCGAAACATATCCTGATATAAAACGAGACTCGAGATTCGCACAGATATCCGAAGAGAATGTGAATTTTTTCAAGAATTTACTAGGGAAGGAATCTGCAATTATTGATGGAGTTACAAAGGATGCTACAGATGATATCGAACCTTTCAATGGAGATTGGATGCGCAAATATAGAGGTCATACAAGTTTGGTATTGAAGCCTGGATCTACGGAGGAAGTGAGCAAGATTTTGAAATATTGCAATGATAATATGTTAGCAGTTGTGCCGCAAGGCGGAAACACTGGACTTGTAGGAGGATCGGTTCCAGTATTCGACGAGATTGTTATCAATATGAGCCGAATGAATCAAATTCGATCATTTGATGAGGTTTCAGGTACGCTTGTAGTGGATGCTGGTGTCGTTCTGGAAACTGCGGACAACTATTTGGCAGAGCGCAAACATATATTTCCGTTAGATCTAGGCGCAAAAGGATCATGTCATATTGGAGGTAATGTTGCGACAAATGCTGGAGGTTTAAGGCTGTTACGATATGGAAGTTTACATGGAAATGTTCTCGGTATCGAAGCAGTCCTACCAGATGGAACAATCGTTGATGACCTATCAAAATTACGGAAAAACAATACTGGTTATGATTTGAAACAGTTGTTCATCGGAGCTGAAGGAACAATCGGTATCATTACTGGAATTTCAATCATCTGCCCTCAACGATCAAATGCAATCAATGTCGCATTTTTTGGTCTCGAATCCTTCGAAAAGGTCCAAGAAGCTTTTAAAGAGGCGAAAGGCCATCTTTCCGAGATCCTCTCTGCCTTTGAACTTATGGACAGCCACAGCCAAGATTTAGTTCACAGAGTAACAAAAAATAAAAGGCCATTGGAAGGTGAGTATCCTTTCTACTGTCTTATCGAAACCAGCGGTTCCAACTCCGATCACGATCAAGAGAAACTCAGTAATTTCCTCGAACATGTCATGGAAAAAGAAATCGTCTCTGATGGTACCTTGGCCGACAACGCCACACAAATCAAAGATCTTTGGAGCTGGAGAGAAGGTATCCCCGAGTGTCTGGGCCACTGGGGTGGTGTATACAAATACGATCTTTCTATTCCTCTTAAGGAACTTTACCAACTCGTAGAAGACGTACGAGAAAAGATCACAGAAGCTGGTCTCATCGGTGATACTGAAGATCACCCCGTCGTCGGCGTGGTAGGTTATGGTCACATGGGGGATTCGAATCTACATCTCAATGTAGCCACTCGAAGCTATGATAAGAGAGTCGAGCAAGTATTAGAACCTTTCGTATATGAATGGGTCGCGAAGAGAAATGGAAGTATTAGTGCAGAGCATGGGCTTGGGTTGGCAAAGAAGAATTATATTGGGTATAGTAGGAGTGAGACGATGATTGGTTTGATGAAACAGATTAAGAATCTTTATGATCCAGTAAGTCTACCTGTCCATCTTGGATATTCAGAGTTGTGAACCGATACTGACATGGTATAGAATGGGATCATGAATCCATATAAATATATTTGAGAGGATACATAGACACTACAGTAGTAGTTTGACATGTTCATATGGGTTCGGTCATCATTTTCTTTTTAAATTTCGTTAGATAGGAAGGAGAATGGATTGAATTGGATAGGTGAATCAAGGGATTGCAAATGCTATATACCAAAAAGCTCAAAGTATATATACTCAATTAGCGAAGTAGCAAGGGACATTATACACATGTAGAGAATTTGATCATTACATATTCACTTCATATTCATATTCATATTCATCACCAATATCCCAAACCCCCTGCCTCCCTCCCTTTACGCGAAAACTAAAATATAACTCTTTATACTCGAGTATATTCATATTCATATTCATATTCGTATAACAATACCTACAACTCACCAGAGTACTCTCTCTACTCAAGTAGTAAAGTTACTATACTAATGTACGAGTACGTACTCGAGTAGTATACTAGATAGATATTAATAAAATACTATTTAAAATAATATGATTAACGTGGTTTATCAGTACGTGGATCACTTTTACCTCAATTTACAACTTTCAACTTCAACACGCGATTTATCAACAATCTACGATGCAATCGAACAATAAAGAAGGTCGAATACTTTTAGCTATTGAAGCTATTCAAAAAGACAAAAAATTAAGCTATCGAAAAGCTTCCAAACTATACAATATACCATATACAACGCTTATCCACAGAATGAACAGTTCTATCTCTTGTACAGAATATCGATCAAAAAATCATAATATTACAAAAATGAAAGAGGAAGTGCTTATTCAATATATTATTGATATGGATAATCGAGGGTTTGTACCTAAATTAAGTGGTATGGAAGATATAGCGAATTATATTCTTGAATCGAGAGGTACGAAAAAGGTTGGAAAACTCTGGGCTCATCGATTTGTAAAGTGTCATATGGAATTAAAGACATATTTCAATCGTGTTTATGATTTTCAAAGAGCTCTTTGCGAAGATCCCAAGCTTATTGAAGAGTGGTTTCGATTAGTATCGAATATGCGGGCCAAATATGGTATTCAGGATTGCGATTTTTACAATTTCGACGAAACCGGTTTTATGATGGATGTAATATACTCTGGAATGGTTGTAATTGATACTGAACAGCGTGGCAGAAGCAAAGCAATACAGCCAGGCAATCGAGAATGGGCTATGGCGATTATATGTGGTAATAGAGAGGGTAAAACTATACCTCCATTTTTAGTGGTGCAAGGACAATATCACCTTTCTAATTGGTATACTGAAACCGATCTGCCGGCAAATTGGGTTATTAAACCTACTAGCAATGGATGGATGAATAATGAGACGGGTTTAGAATGGATAAAGCATTTCGATAAACATACAATCCATCGAAGAACAGGCAAATATCGAATGCTAGTATTGGATGGGCATGAAAGCCACGAATCGATATCTTTTCAATCATACTGTACGGAAAATGATATTATATGCCTCAAATTACCACCGCATTCAAGTCATTTAACTCAGGCATTGGATATTGGATGCTTTAGTGTATTGAAACGATCATATGGTTCTCAGATTGAAGGATTTATCAAGGCTCATATCAATCATATCTCAAAGGTTGAATTCTTTATAGCTTTCAAAGCTGCATATCAACAATCGATTACAATTCAGAATATGAAAGCTGGCTTTCAAGGAGCAGGACTAATACCATTTGACCCTCAAGCCGTGCTCTCGAAATTAGATATTCGAATTCATACGCCTAGCCCTTTATCCACTCCCTCGGAACCTGTCGATTCTTGGGTCTCTCAAACACCTCACAATCCAACTGAAGCTCTTTCACAATCGACTTTAGTCAAATCTCGAATATATCGTCATCAATCAAGCTCTCCTACACCTATATTCGAAACTGTATTAGCTTTAGCTAAAGGCACAGAGAGATTAGCACATGAGAATACACTTTTAAGTGCAGAAATCCGTACACTTCGAAAGGCAAATGAGGCATTAAGCAAACATCGACGTGCAAAAAAGACTCAATTACATCAAGGAGGAGTACTTACTGGACAAGAGGCTATAGATATATTATCTCAGCAAGAAGTTGATATTCAGATTCTACGTGATGAGCGTCAAAATGGAGCGAATTCTAATAGGGAAGCATCTTCTAGTAGATGCTGTAGTAAGTGTGGAAAACCAGGTCATAATTCAAGAACTTGTTCTAGTAATGTAATAGATCCTAGATTATTAGATTCCTAATAGTTTCAATCAATTGATTCAATTGTTGTTGAATAATATGGTTTTGAAGTTGTAAATTGAGGTAAAAGTGATCCACGTACTGATATGATCCACGTACTGATAAACCACGTTATAGATAGTATACAATACTCTAGTTAGTCAATAGTAAATAGTTAATTAGTTAAACGAGTACAGTAGTGTTGGTTTGAATACACTCACTACTCGAGTACTCGAGTATATACATACACTCACTCTCTCCTAAACTGCCAGGTTCCCGACTCTGCTATGTACGAGTAGTTCGGAAATACTCGAGTACTGAGTATACGAGTACTGATTGGAGATGTGATGTTATGTTATGGTTATAGGTATAGTAGTGGTTGTAGTAGTGAGAACTTCTTGGATATTTTGGGTACTTATGCTCTTTTGTATACAAGGGTATGCAATATGCAATATGCAATATGCAATACGCAATATCTGTCTCTGTCTCTGTCTGTCCTATATCAAATTTGAAATTCGCCCCAAGTATCCATGATCCATCCCTACAAAAGCGCCCCAAACCAAATCCAAAACAAACCAAACCCTTACAAACACCCACAACACCATCTCCCCATTCCCAACCTCCCTATTCTACCCCCCTCACAAAAACCAAAACCCCACCTCCCCCCCATCCCACTTCGCCCCCACATCACACTCATTACCCACCTTATAACACACCTTCTGCGCCTTACAATTCGGACACCTCACTCTCCATTTCCCGGCATGCGTATCATACATCGCACGTACATCTTTCAGATGTGTAAACGTATGACCTTTTGGACAACAAGTGCTAGCCTCTTTTTCTTTCTCTTTCTCTTGATTTAGCATCTTGGATTGGGAAATCGTGGGTTGAGAAATCGCGGATTGAGATTGAGATGCAATGCTTGTGAAGAGATCATACGCAATCGCCGCGTTGCTTTTGCACAATTGAGTGAATTCCGCTCTACCTTTAAGCTCTTTAACATGCGTGCTAGCAGTGTGCAGCGCAAGTGATGTGAGGCAGGTATTACTCTCAGGTAATTCCTCATATAAAAGTTCTAAGCTAGCAGAGAAAGAAGTAGTATTCCAATCGGTCAAGATGGCTTTTTCGTACTTTTGTTTGGCGAGGGTTTGGAGCCCGGGGATATCATATTTATCGCCTATAATATAGACCATGGTATTGATGAGAAGAGGACCGTAATCTTCCTTGGCGGCTTCTTCACTCGTCGAAGAGTCGTCGTAATCTTGGAGGTAGAAGAAGTTAATCATTCTGGCGACGGTACTAGGGTCATCATCCTCGAGTTCGAGAATGCCGGTAACTGATTCCTGTATTGGTCTCAGCAATGATTAGGCAAAACATGTATTTCTATCTCAACTGCCATTTGAGCTTGTCAAATAGATTGTAGAAATGAGAGCTAACCAGGAAATTTCCATTGGCTGCAGCTTGTATTGGTTTGGATTGGGTGCAAACGACGATTCGATGAACGTGAAAGATCCTTGAGTGACACTTGATGATAAAATCGCTGTATTCATTTGCACTCATCATCCTAATTCTCAATCAGTGGGATCATCCTATACGACAGGTAGGTTCCAATGACATACCTAGCCCACAGAGCTTTAGTTGTATCGATTGGACTATTGTCCCTACTGTCACTTGACTTTGAGTGAGACATCTGAGTGATCGAGGATGGGGGTTTGAATTGTACTTTTTCTTTCCGATGTATAGTTTGGGTACTCTTGACGACAAACTTTGAAATAAAGGAATGTATTTGTATTTGTATTTGGGAAGAGCGAGCCATAAAATCAGTTGTACATTCAAGGAAATAGAAGACGATATTGAAAAGCTTTGGGTATCATTGAACGAAAGACAGGGTTTATTTTCCCCATGGAGAAGCAATGTGCAGTCATGCACCTCAAATTCTCCGCTCCAATGAATCTTCGCCATTCCGTAATGAAAATCAAATGAGTACCACAAATTTAGTCAACATATGTCGCCTTGAGCTTGGTATTTATAAAAAAATATTGGCGTATGTGTAGAATGCTGTTATTGTAAATTGAGATGTTGCATTCTTATGAATCTTATCCAATCATATCTGTCCTACCTATGAGATACAACCCTAAAATGTACATACATCCAATCGTTCAATTCCAGAACCATCCTGACTTTGTATTCTTCTTGGTTTGTGACTCGTTTTCCTGATCATGAGTTCCTGCTTTCTGCTGCGACGACATATGCTCCTCAGAATCGAGTTCCGTCCTAGAAAGGTTGCATTGTCGGGTTGCTTGGTCGACGGTATGACTAGATGATGTTTCCGTTTCACTTCCATCGGCAAACCTCTTCCACAGATATATTGTTGTTTCCACACTTCCATCTTCATCAGTGAAGTGTTCGATAGCTGAGTGTGAAGATACTTCTCGTTTTGATTCTGTGGGTTCTGAGATTGCTTTCTCACTTGTGTCGGCCTCTTTCACACCCGAGGGACTTGCTCGAGGAGAATCTTCAAATGGCATATTCTTGCCCTTCATTAATTTTTCCACGGTAGTATGGGTAGACTCAAGTGTGGTGAGTATTTTATCAGGCGTGGTAGATGCATCGTTCAAGAAATTCTCGTACATGTGTTCTTCGGTCTCGGCGCCGTTTCTCGATGGTCGGGAGACGGATGAAGCTACAGCATGACTGTGAGCCGTATCCTCCTGTCTAGACGAACGAGATTCGTTTGAAGTATTGCCCAAGTCTGAATTATGCAGATGAAGTATACCCAGTCTTCGAAGTCGTTCGATCCAATCTAAACGATTTTCGACACTCGAGCTAATACTTCTGGATGCTTCAGTTGCGACTGACTTGGGGCACCTAGTTCGAACTTCGGTATCTCTACCTTGGCTAGTGAGGAGTAGGTCTTCGAATGCTTCACAATAAGGGAAGTCGTCTCGAGGAATAGCCCCGGACGTCCCGGAAGTTTTCGTAATTCCCAGTTCGCGCATCATAGATTGACCAAGAGACAAACTTAGGGGTGAATATGGCGAACCAAAAAGATAAGGCACTAGTGAGATATCGCTTGGATCGGCTTGGTATAACATGACAGCAGCAAAAGAACCCATAGTATGCCTAAGATCACCAGAGAAAGGGGTACTCATTGGCGAATGTAGAGGGGAATAGAGTGGGACATCATAAGATCCGAAAACATTCATTCTCCGGTCCGATGGAGGATGATGAAAATCCACTTCGTTGTGAGATATTGAGGACTTCTTCACAGGGATTTGAACTTCATCGTTCGAAGTTGTCATATTTCCACTTCTTCTCTCCTCGGCTTCCTTCAATTCCCTCTGCCTCACTTGTAATTCATCCCTTCTTCTTAGATCCTCATCAAATACGGACCATTGCGAACTGCTTTGCGGTTTTGCGAATGCAGATGGTAGGCCAATAAATCCTTGAAGAATTGAGCTGAGATGCTCATCGGCGAAGTGTCGAAAACGAATAAAAGGATTATCGGAATCGGATGGATTATCTTTGGAAATTTTATCGATATTATTATCTGAGTTTGACGATTTTGACATTGCGCTTCGAATGATTTGGGTTTATTGACGTCGAAGATATTCTTTTCAATGTTCGCTATAGATGGTAAAGGTATCGTCAAGTTTGGAATTGATGAAGGTTGGGTCAGGTCAGTTGTTGATAAGAGAGTAGTGGGGAGATTGTCAAGATTGTGAAGTTTGGATAGAGGTATGATAGGTATTGATGGGGAACTTGTTGACATTTTTGCGGGGTTCTAGAAGTTAATTTAGCGCTGAAAGTTAGTAGGGAAGCACGGATCGAATACCGGTATGGGCACATACAGGTTCCCGAACGGGGTTCATTCTCAGCCTTTAGACCATACACACTAGTAATATTAATACATTTAACGAATTCAACTAATTATTCACTATAAACAACTAACTACTTTGTATTTAATTCATTTAATCAATATTAACTAATTCAATATTAACTAATTAAATTCATTTCAATTTGTTTTATTTTATTTTATTTAAAATTATTTTATTTCATTCTTTTATTATAAATAAATAACTATTAATATCTTATTTATCTAATTAATATTAATTAATTAATCTATTTCAATTCATTTTATTCTATTTCTTCTCACTTATATTTCATTCATTTAATTAATTTCAACCAATCAATTCATTTCAATTCAATTCATTTCATTTCTATCTCTTCCTTTCTACTCGAGTACCACTTCACCGTAAACAAGCAAACAAGCCACTCCTACTACTTTCCAGCCCCTAAAGAACTCTGGAAACCAACTTGACTGGCTCTAATAAAAGGAACCATAGGGAGCTCGCCACGAAAACTTCACAAATTGAGAAAAGTTATTGACAACACAACACACAACATACAACATACAACATTCAATTGCTTTTTCTACTACCACATATCATATTACCTACTTACTACATACTTACGAATTGAAATCAAAAGCAACAATGTCTTGTCTTTTCCAATCCTGAGAGAGAGATAGAGAGAAAGAGTATCCACATCATCATGACAACAATTACAACTACAACTGGCATATCATTCATTGTGCGAGATGCATCAACCCCTCACATGCGACCTCACACCACTTCCAAAACTTCCTCAAATCCCTACAACTCCAATTCCAATTCCAACTTCAATCAAAACAATCATTTGAATACCGATACGAATAATATTAATAATAATAATAATAATAACAGACGTCATTCGCTTCCACTTCATTTCCTTCCACCAAGTTTATGGACTTTAAATACTTCAACTGCTAGTCTTGTTGAATCTGAAGAAGCTGCTCGCGGTGAACATATCCTAGACGAAGCAAAGGTTGCACATCGTCTTACAGCTCTCCGCTCTTTGAACGGCACAGATCGATCTCATCATCGTTATGCAAAATCTACCGGAGAGACATTCAACCAACCGGTGATTGTGCGAACCTACTCAGGAGCTGTTCGACCTCGCTCTCAACAACGAGATCCCATCGCGACCAAGAAGCAGAATGGAACAGCTGGCATAGCATCAAATAAAATGGATATGAAATTACCACCCGTGGAAGCTTTTAGCTTCAAGGGGATTATGGATGAAATAAAACATGGCGTGAGTGAAGATATAGAGAGGATCGCAGAAATATGTGCTAGGAGCAAGTATAGTTTGGCAAACCAACATGAATTTCATCACCCTCCTCATGGATCCGGGGATCGTATACCACAAACTGGTACCGCCTCAGGGGCAGATCTAGGTGTACCAACATTACAAACTGTCGACCCGGATGAACATTCTACAAGACATCCGGCACGAAGCTCAAGAGGAATTCGAAGAGGGAAATCTGTCGCTTATGGTACACTAGAAACAATCATGTCATCCTCGAGGTCCTCGGATGAGGACAAATCCAGAAAAAAGCCCGCCGTTGTATTAGAAGATGAGGTTCGCGGCAGAGTAACCTCGAAAGCGGTTGATGCATCACCTCCAAGTTCCGACGTGATCAAAGAAATTGTCGCCCCAGAAGCCACACCTAAGAGACACCCCACCTCCAAGCACAAGCACACCAGGACCAAATCTGCCACATTCGCATCGATGATAATAGACAATGCCCAAACCTTCAAGCCAGAAAATAAACCACAAGTTGCATCACCCACCTTCCTGATCAGCCAACCAGCTCGACCTCAAACTTCAGCCGCAGATCTGGAGCATATGCCTGCCTTTCATGAACTTCTTTCCACCCGCCCTTCCACGTTCCATGAGTTGACGTTACCAAAACCTACCTTGATACGCAATGAATCTATAGCTTCTACGTTAACGTTAAGACCTGAGACCTCGCCCAGATCCTCCATACTCAGTAGTTGGAGCTCATGGTTACCTTGGGGTAATAAACCAAGTCCAATGCGAACATGTGATGGTAGAGCCAGAAGTGTATCGTATGCAGAAGGTAGTTTGCGAAGTTTATTGAGGTCGACGGATATGGACAGAAAGGGTAAGGCTGTGGATCGCATGTCTTGAATAGATGTATGTCATGTCATGATTAAAGGAATGTACTCGAGTAGCAATTCTCATGCGTTGAGGTGCAATATATGAGATGAGTCGTCGAAAGACCGTGACATTGGAATATGTACAATATAACCTGTAGATATATTGGATTCTACTCTAGCCCAGTCATTTATTTGCACCGCAAAACTCTACTCTACGAATATTGACTTCTAGCATAATATACCTAGGTAGTAACCGTCTGAATCTCGAATCTCCCAGATTTTCCACCCACTCACCCACGCACACACCCGGTCATCGATTCGATTTTTGCGTGGCGGGCGATACTGAGTACATACCGGTACGAGTATGTACGAATACATACGAGTACGTACGATAACATATATAGCGAAGAGATTACATTACGATTTCAGTCTTTAGTCTTTAGTCTTTAATCTTCAGATGTAGAAAGATAAACGAATCGAAATGAATCGAAACGAGTATACTTGCTTGTGTGTTATGTATTGTGTTTGTTGCTTTCTGTGATTTGTGGTTTGTGGTTTGATGATTAGATGGTTGGATTGGGGTAAAGGGGGGGATTATGGAGGTAAGATGGGTTTGGGGTGGAGAGTGGGAGGGTGGAGGTGAGGTTGTGGAGGTGATGGGTGGAGTTGGTAGAGGGTGGAGTGGAGGGTGTATATGGGGTTTTGAGAGGGTGTGAGGTGAGGTTGTGAGGTGCTGAGGATGAAGGGATATTGAGGGAGTAGAGGGGTGGAGTAGGGGATGGTGGAGGAGAGAGGGCTAATAGGAACAGTGCGAGATTCTAGGTGGGTTTGATGGGATTGATGGGTGGAGGAATGGAAATAAGGGGGGAGAGAGAGAGGGAGAGAGGATTGAATGAATTTAGATTAAATTAGATTAGACTAACTAGCCGGTAATAGATAACTTGTGATTAGCAAATAATAATAACTGCAATGATATTCAATTATTACTATTATTATAACTACTATTTAGACTTTTTATTGGAATAATATGAGGTTTAGATTAGATATTACTCGAGTAGTTTAGCAATATAAATAAGTATTTATTATATCTAAAAAAGCTTCTAATTAAAGTTAATTTAATTACTATTATTTTAAAGTATTTATATAAAGAGATTTATATAGAATTGATTTAATTTAGATTAGCTATTTAATATCTAAATCTAAGAGATATTATTACGATTTAGAATTTAAAAAAGATTAATATCTAAACTTTTATACTACTACTATTAGTAAAATTCAATATCTAGTTATTCGAAGATTATAATATTCAAATCGATTATGACTTTACTACTAATATTCAAATTCTTATTATGTTATATATTCTAGATCCAAATTTATATATAACGATAGATCTAACTTAACAAATAATATCTTAAAGACTATATCTTTCTTTCGGGCCTAGGCCTAGTTATCATCACTTCCTTATCATCTAACTTCAACAAGAACTCAAGCTTCAGCTTCATAACATTATCGACCTAGAAAATAGCCAAATACTTAAGTATATCAGGTATAATGCAAATCAACAAAATATAAAATGCAATTAGAGGTCGGGGTGACTCACGTGCATCTATCCATTTTATCCATCTATCCACAAATACACATCCAGACCTTCCCCCACTCTGTCAACTCCCAAGGCAGAATCCTCCGATATTCCTTCTCCCCACAATATTGACAATGAGGCTGAGAGGGGTCAACTTGTAGACAGCATACAACCGTACCCCTGTTCCCACCACATGATTGATATTATCCCCGCCCTCACCGAGTTCGCTTTTGGTATATACTAATACAGTGCATATGCATACTGCATATGGAGTACATATACATATAGTGGAGGGCCCCCGTTTGCTAACCTACGGGCCATTCACTAATTTCCAAGCAAAATGTTTTGATTTTAGGGGATTAACCTTATTATTATACTCGTAATATAACCTTGTCAAATTTGATCTTACTTACCCCTCCTTAATCTCATTTCACTTCATCTCAACTCATAATCAAGCAAAACCAAGCAAAAACGAAACCAAACAAGTGGCGCATCCAAACCAAACCAAACCAAACCAATCCAATCCAATCCACACAAGAAAGGCCCGCCGATATCAAGACCGCCTCAGCCTCAGCCTTGACTCTTGAGTCATCCGGTAGGAAAACCAAATGATAATGATAGGATAAGGACTAGTTGGAACTAGTGGGTGTGACACCGATACGATAGATAGCCTTATTGTGCTGCATATGAATCAGAAGAGTAGAGTAGATTGGATCGGATGCCTGCATTTTCGATTTTGTGGCTATATATTGTAGGTGCAGGCGTATTTTCCTATACTGATTTTATTTTATATACAGATGAAAGGAAGGAAAAGGAAAGAAAAGAAGAGGAAGGGAATATTTTTGAGTGGATCTTTTGAGTTATTTATTGTACGGGGTTTCAATAGATTATTGATCTTTGAAAGTGGTTTGTGGTAATTGAATACTTACTTCATATTATTGGGCAATAAGATTGGTTATACTATTCACTGAATTGAGGGGTAATCAATCACATAACAAACAGTACACACCCTTCTCAAAACTATATTGTGTTTGGTACAACATCCAATCCATCAAACCCATCAAACCCATCAAACTCAACGTCCTCCACAAGACCTAAAATAAAACAAAACACACCAACCTTCCGAATCAGCAACATACCATCCCCGAAAATGCCGCCAGAATCCAAAAGTATATGCATCTCCTGCACCTCTTGCACCAACACAAAAAACAAATGTCAAAATATTCTAACGCAAGTAATTCTCTCCCTTGAGAACGCATCGGAGGTATATCGGAAAATAGTTCCGTTTGTGAGGAGATCTCATGCGAGGCATTTATTGGGTGATGATGTGTATGCGGTGGATGGACTGTTGAGGAGGGCACTGGAGAGATTGTATGAGGTTGATTTTACTTCTCAGGATGGGTTGGATGGATTGGGGGAGTTGGTGGGGGGAAATGGGAGTGCGGGGTTGGAGGATTTACCGCTTTTTAGGAGGGTGGGAGATGAGAAGGAGAGTAGTGATGGATTGGATGAAGAATTGAAGGGGGATGCCAGAACGAGATTTCCGACTTTGAAACTTGATGCTGGATTTTCGGATATGAAGGTTTCGTTCGTGGATTCAGCGGTGGAGGTTAGGAGCCCGGGGATTATTCAGGAAGTCCTTTTGGATGACGATGTTATGGTTATGATGGATGTTGATGCAAAAATGTGCATGGAATTATCATCTGTGCCGACTTATATCACTCCTGAGTTTCCCTACCTGCTGAAGGCCATTCGATTATGGTTGGAGGAATTCTTTTACCCTAAAGACGATCTTTTAGGTATTCCGAAGGGGATCGTTAAGCAACTCGCTGGTTTTGAGATGGATTTTGGGTTGGAGAGATTACCAACAACTAGCTGTATATGGAACCCCGATTACCAAAGACAGCGAGAAGAGGTATGGACGATAATGTCCTTTTGGGGACCCAATCAACGATCAAAATGTGTATGCGGATCGGGAGGACCTGAGGAAGAGCTTCTGGATCATTGGAAAGATCCTCATTGTCCTTACAATATGCCGACCGATTTGGACTCACCGTTAGTGAAGTATACATGGAATGACTCGACACAACGGTGGACATATCACAGAGGACCTGGACCAAGAATTAGTGGACCGCCGCCTCCTCCTTCACCCAACTTTTCAAGACATAACGATAATGCATCTGATGCTCCCGGGTCAGATACAGATTCAGAGGCCGGAGAACGACCTCCAGCGAAAATTCAAAAATCTAAGCAGGAGAGAGCAGAAGACGCGGAAAAGGCTTGGGAAGATATCATGTGTATGACCGGTTTGAAGGGAGTCAAAGAGCATGTGCGAAAGTTGAAAGCCAAGGTTGAGAACTCGATTCGGCAGAATATTGATTTGAAAGAGGAGAGGTTCGGTGCAGTTTTCATGGGTAACTCAGGTACCGGAAAGACTACCATGGCTAGGATTTATGCCAAATACCTATATTCTATGGGAGTTATTCAACAGGACAAGGTTATCGAGACAACAGGTACCTATCTTTCTGATGGAGGCATCGATAGATTAAAAGAGTATGTTGAACGGTTATCTGGTGGCGGCGTGATGTTCATCGATGATGCAATGTCCCTGGACGATTATAACAACGGCACCAAGATTTTCAATTTTCTTCTTCAAAAAATCGACCAGAAAAAAGGATCTGTAGTTTTCATTCTTGCTGGACACGAAAAAGGAATGCGTAAACTGCTAGGCCATGGAACGAAGAGTGTCGCCAGTTTACTCCCAAATGTTCTTACATTCGACGATTTTTCGGAACCCGAATTACTCGAAATCCTGAGTTCATGTATTAAGAAGAAGTTCGATGGGAAGATGGAGGTTGAGGGTGGATATGATGGACTTTACATGCGAATTGCAGCGAAGAGGGTGAGTAGGACGAGAGGTGGCTCCCAATTTGGAAATGCCAGAGCTGCGGAGAACCTCGTTGGCCAAATTTGGGAGAGACAATCTGCTAGATTGTCTAAGGTTCGGAAAGAGAGAACCACCAAAGCCGCGGAAGACGAAGCTGCAAAAGAAAAAATCGACGAAGAGAAGACTGTAGAGAAGAGCATTGTTGGCGAAGAGACTGCTAGAGACGAAGAGCAGGAGAACCCTCAAGCAGAAGGAAAGCCTGACACGGAACAAAGCTCCAAGATAGAAAACTGTACGGGTCAGGAAATCGAGGATAAAGACCAACATATCAAAATAGAGGTGGCAGCCAACATAAGCGTTGTGGTTGCGGAAGGGGATACCGATATATCCAAAGATGAGAAGACGATCATAGGCGAGGAGACTACAAAAGAAACAGCAAAACCTTTACGCGAGAAATCGTCATTGGACGAACATACTATGCCGGAAGTGTTGGAACTCCCAGCCCAGGACAGCTTGTTGAATGAGCCAAGAACGAAGGAAGAATCCATTCTGTTAGTCGTTTCCGATCCAACAGAGCCATCAGAAATCAGTACAGAGTCAAATGCCGTGGAGGGGGTAGAATCGGAAGAGCCTAAGCGAGAAGAGAATACTAGCCCATTAGCCAAAGAGGTGACGGTGACGGAGGGACCAACACCGAAAGGGGAGATTTCTCCACTATATACGAAACCTGATGAGCATCTCGAAGTAACATACGAGGGCCCTACGGATGCCGGAAATCGCACTGGGAACCAAGCTGAAGGGGATGATAAACCTAACGAAGACAAATTGTCCGATGAAGCACAAGAATCATCCGAGAAAGATTCCAATTCAGATTCGGACACTGAAGAAACGCCAGTACCAGACCCAGAAGACTTCTTATTTACAAAAGAAGATATACTCGGCCCGGATCCTTCTACTGCGATTCTAGAGAGCGAGGCTTGGCAAGAACTTCAGAAGCTCATCGGTTTGGAAAAGGTCAAGACCTCTCTACTTACACTCCTCGAACTTGTCAAAGCAAACTACCAACGAGAGCTCGAAGAAAAACCGTTGCATCAATTCACCTTGAATCGTCTATTCATGGGTCCAGCTGGAACTGGCAAGACTGTAGTTGCGAAGTTGTATGCCAAGATTCTCGGAGAGATTGGTGTCCTCTCGAAGGGCGAGGTCATTTTCCGGAATCCGAGTGATCTTATCGGACAATACATCGGAGATTCGGAAGCTAATACCAAGGCTGCGCTCAATGCCGCGAGAGGTAATGTGCTGGTGATTGATGAGGCATACATGATGTATAGTGGGAACTCGGATGGCACCGGGAACGACAGCGATTCATACAGACAAGGAGTTATTGATACTCTCGTTGCCGAAGTGCAAGGTAATCCCGGCGATGATCGATGCGTTCTGTTACTAGGATATAAGGAGCCGATGCTGGAGATGTTAAATCACTCGAATCCTGGGCTGAGTCGAAGGTTCCCTGTCGGAAATGCATTTTGGTTCGAAAACTTTTCTATAGATGAATTAAAGAAAATACTTCGCTCTAAATTAGAGTCCCAGGTTCTTGAAGCCACGGAAGAAGCCATCAAGGTTGCTATGGATGTCCTTCAGAAAGCCAGCACCAGATTAAATTTTGGCAATGGCGGAGAAGTGGAGAACTTGATTGCTACTGCGAGAAGCAACTACCAAACGCGAATGTCGGAAATTCCTGTGGAAGAAAGGTCTGGCATGTGGGTATTTCTGCCTGAGGATTTCGACCCAGAATATGATAGGGGCAGATCGGCACATGCCAACCTTCAAAAACTATTCGGCGACGTTATTGGGTGTGAGAATATCGTGAAGCAGTTGGGACAATATCAGAACGTCTGTCAAGCCATGAAATCGAGAGACATAGACCCAAGAAAGTATATCCCGACGAATTTCGTCTTCAAAGGACCTCCTGGTAAGATATATGAGCCCCGTCGTAACCTAGGAGAACCAACACTGACAGTTTCGTTTTTCAGGGACGGGTAAGACGACGACAGCACGAAAATTCGCAAAGGTGTACTATGACATGGGATTTCTATCCGACGAAACAGTAATCGAATGCTCGGCCAGCGACCTCGTTGGCAAATACGTGGGACACTCGGGACCGAAAACAGCCAAAGTTCTGGAGAAAGCTCTGGGAAAAGTGTTGTTCATCGATGAAGCGTACCGTCTAGCACCCCACAGTGAAAGCTACAGTTTCACATCTGAAGTAGTATCCGAGCTCGTTGATCTCCTCACCAAACCCAAGTTCCATGGAAATTTGATAGTAATCCTCGCGGGTTACGAAGACGAAATAAACTCGCTACTGGCAGCAAATCCTGGCCTTGCATCACGTTTTCCCGACGAACTAAATTTCCCAGCTCTGAAGCCTCTCCATTGTTTGCAGATTTTGGAGATGAAATTAGAGCTTGCAGGAATCACAATTCCTATTCTGAAGCAGACCCAACAGAGAGAATATGAACAGTTATTGCGATCGATGACGCTTTTGACAGCGACGCATGGCTGGGGCAATGCTAGGGATGTAGAAACATTGGCGAAAGCGATTTGCAGAACTGTGTTTTTGGAGATGGTGGGAGACGGGGAACTGGTTTGTACGGCAGAAAACGCTACTATGGCAATAGAGGTCATGTTGCATGAAAGAAGGCAGAGGGCATATACGGCATTGCCGCCCCCGAGATACGAATAGAATTGGGAATTGGGAATTGGGAAAGGGAAAGGGAGATTGGAAAACTGAGTAACTGAGCTTGTGGGTGGAGTCAATGGACCAGGGCTTGGTGACAAATAGATAACTGATGATACATGAATATATGATTATATGACTTCACATAACGATACTTTGAGTTATAAGAAGTTTCGGATCGCTCTACTTGAGACTTCCATAAACTGAACATAGGTACCAACTATTTTGCTTCAAGACAATTAGTAAAAATAAAAACAACAACGGTCTGAAATTGCCAAGACAAGCGGAAACCTCGACAAAAGATATCGGGAGTCGAATTGGATCGTGAGACCGTGACATGGGAGTTCTCTTGGCGTCAGCGTGATGACCGATTCACGTGCCTTTTAAAGGATCATCTCAGCCGCATTGCGCAGACAAACAATTCTCCTGAAATCGAGAAAAATTCCTAGTAGATGACCATTGAGCAGAATATACTACCCTAAACCTTCTGCCTAAGAGTTCTTTTCATGCTGATAGTGCGTTTATGTTGATTGTGTGACCGGAGCCCACTCAATGATGCCACGAGGGACGAGTAATCGCAGGAGCACAAACGTTGGCTCGAAACCAAAGGGAGAACGAACACGAGCATATTTTCCCAAGGTATGGCATTATCAATCACGCGATATATAACTTCAGGTTGACGAACATGATGGTTTAGACGAGGACTGGTTGTTGGACTTGCAAGTTTGTGATTACATCTTTGAAACCTTATTTTCGCCACCATCCCATTATCGCGTGAATTGCTAACCTCCAATTTGCAGAAAACGGAGGATTAAATGTGATGAGAAGAAGCCGGCTTGTGCAAAATGTATAGCTTCCGGCTTCGAATGTGCTGGGTACATAGTAGAGATGTCTCAGTATGGTGTCAATCGCAGGATTGCTGCCCAGAATCGACCCTACGTACAAGCAGAGGTCGGTTGTGCTGCGATGAATCCTACCACGATGCCACTTAAAGGTCGATCCCCTATCATTCCCACTTCACTAGCTTTCTCATGTTGCAAATTTCTTTGAGTATCCAATTCCAAGACATACTGATGTTAAGAACAGCTTCGGAGGCCACTCGGATGAATATACAAGTGCTGCAGCCGAGAAGCACAATCGTTGAGACCGAACAAGAATACCGGTACTTCTGCTTCTTCCGAGAAAATACAACAAGAAGGCTATGTGGATTTTTTGATTCGAAGATATGGAGTCACCTAATGTTGCAAGCAGGCGAGCAGGAACAGCCAATTCGTCATGCTGCGGTTGCCATCGGAGCGCTCGATATGATATTGCATACGGAAGAGGAAATATCATGCTCCCCCATTGCAAACTCAACTATCGAGGAACATCACGTCTTTGCCCTCAGACAATATGATAAAGCGGTCAAATCGATGAAGGCAGATATCGCCCAACGAGGCCAATCCTCAAGAACAGCTTTGCTATTTTGTTTGCTCATTGTCTGCTTCGAGAACATATACGGAACGCAATCATTTGCCACCGCACATATCAGAGCCGGTATCCGTTTGATCGAAGCATATCATCATGAGCACGCATCTAGAAGCGATATATCCCAGGCGAAGAAGAAGGAAAAGCACAATGCGTTGGCAGATCCTGTCACATTTGGAATATCTTCTCCAGTCCCAAGTGACATAGAGGATGAGATATACCAAATATTTGGCTCACTTGAAATAGCTTCATTGAGCTTCAATGCAGATGGTCGGGGCATGGCATATCACATGTTAGCTAAGAATTCCGGGTCCTCGTGTGTGGAAAACATGCCTCCAGAGTTCGTGTCACTTCCGGAAGCAAAAGCTTATTGGGATCTCATCATGCGTCGTCTCCTGCATCTTTTGCCCACATTGAATGCAGCGCAAGCTACAATGCGTGCTTATGAGGATCATGATGAGACACCCACTGTTAATACGAAATCTTCGTCGGCTGCAATTGAAGAGCAACATAGGTATCTCACCGAACTGATTTCCTGGAACAAGGCTTTTATTCCAGTTTTCCAAAGATGCTACCTCTTCCCCAACAGTAAAGATTTCGCAGGCGCCACCATACTGAGATTACGTTGGATTCTCTGCCGGATCGCAATATCCTCGGCTCTAAATTCTTCGCAAGTTGCTCTTGACAATTATCTAGATGATTTTCGCCAAGTCCTCACTTCAGCCAAAAGTTTGATGTCTCATCCTGCATGGACAGGAAAATTCACGTTCGACTCCGGAATCATCGGTCAGATATATATCGTTGCACTCAAATGTCGAGACTTCCCGATCCGATCAGAAGCCATCTCGTTATTGTTGTCGAAGTCATGGCGTGAAGGAGTATGGGACAGCGCATTGGCTGGTAATATAGCCAAAGCGGTTGTGGAATTGGAAGAGGAAGGGCGCGAGTCTGGATATATACCTGAAAGCAAGAGAGTATATCAGACCTCTATGCGCTTCGATCTGCAACAGCGAACTGGAACTGTGAAATGCTTTAAAAATTCTAGTATTCCCTCAGAAAGAGGTTGTCTGATTACGAAAAGCATCAAGTGGTAACATCGTCACGAAGCCACCAAGAGAATCCGCATCGTAAATCATCTGTTCGTTGCTGGAGACTTACAGTGAACAACAAGACACCTTTTGAAGTCAGTCCAACCCGAATTCGGAAAATAAAACCGTATCTGCCAAAAGTTTGAAGAATACTGGACTTGAAATTTAATCGAGTGCCGAGCCTTACATGATACGCCAGTAAAGAAGGCATGCACCTATCAACGACGTAACATGTGACTACCTAGCTCGATCAATGATGGCAGCGCTATATATCGGCTTCCAAGTCTAGCCGATCCATTAAATATATTCCCAAATAATACAACATCAATCCAAGCACCCCCACGTCTCGATGGCGCAGCGGTAGAATTCATCATTCTCGTGAATGATGTCCGCCTTTCTACTTAGCAATTGGCAGGGCTTCGATCGGACAGTGACGAATCCGTATATGATAGTATATATGCGAGGACGGTTCATTGGGGTTTAAGAGCGTCGCGCTCTAAAACTTTTGCCATTTTGGAGGTTGAGGTTGAGGTGGATGTGGAAGTTATTTTTGTGGGGCTTAGGAGATTATGGAGGGAAGGAGGAGTGGAGGACGGGACTGGAGGACTGGAGTGGAGAGGAGCGGGTGAATTTCTGATAATAGTCGGCTCTTCATGGAGCGGCCGTCTGGAACCTATGAGTCTAAAATAGTACCTTCACGTGTTAAAATTGCTTATTAATATTTAGCTGTACAAATCCGGAGCAGACTAACTAACACTCACTTTAGTCTATTGTACTGGTTGGTATTCACCAAGGTTCCAATACTGTTCGAGGTTGTTAAGGAAACTGTAGTTTGAATCAACTGAATAAAAAGTTTTCCAGACATACTTCCAGTTCTCATAAACAACATCAAACAAAAGTCAATACCATATAACTTTTTCTCAAGTCTTCAAATTGATACTCGAGTACATCATGGCCTCAACAAAAATATTCAAGGAACTCTCTTCTGAGAAGCAGGACTTTTCTCATTTGATTTCCCAGTAAGTGTGATGCTCGATTTCATCCATAAAATAATACTGAACATCCACAGGTTGTATTTGACAGGCAGATACTGGGATGTCATCATCAAATGTCAAGATAGAGAATTCAAAGTTCATCGAGCAATTGTTCTTTCTCAATCGAGGCCACTTGCTGCGGCTATCGACCATGGTTTCAAGGTAATTGGAGCACAATGCGACGCTAAGCGTTTTGTTCATGCTGACACCAAAGTTCAGGAAGCTACCACTGGTGAGATCAATCTCGAGGACGATGAACCAGAGATTGTCGAATTCATGATTAAGTTTCTTTATAATGGCACCTACATAGTACTCGCACCAAAGAAGAACGAGCTTACGTCGGAAGAGAGTACGACATCTGCGAAGCCAGATGGAACACCTAGTACTAGGGATTCAGCTTCGACATTCGGCGCGTTGTTTCAACCCAGTATGTTATTCAGCGCCCCAGTCAATATGAATGCTACTACCAACGCTTCTGCCCAATTTCCTGGATTTACCTCGCAGCCTGCAGCGCCAATGCCTGCGTATGACCCGTTTCCATTTCCAAGCTCAGACAGTTCCTTCATGTTTGCAACCTCACCAAGATATATAAACCACAGGAATGCCAGCTTTGCAGCGGCAACTGGGGAAACATTCAATATGTTTTGCGGAGCTACAAATACAACATCAACGACGAATACATCCAGCCCGGTTGCTCCTACCACAACTTCTGCATCCACAACTGGTTCCACAGCAATACCATCCAACACGGCATTTGGTTCAGTTCCTGCTGCGACATCAACATCAAATTTGTTTGGCGACCAACTAAATTCTGTGAGTGTAAATCAAATACCTACACGGGCTACTTTGCCAGACACTTCAGCGACATCTGCTAACATTTGGATGAAGGCTCAGATAGCTTCCGGTAATTCTAGATCTGATTATCTCTTTGAAAATAATACAGGCACTGATCTACCTTGCAACGTAGAGCTTCTCGCGCAGGATTTGATCAAGCATGCAAAGGTCTACATCATTGCCGAAAAATATGACATTCAACCACTGAAGAACCTTGCTCGTCACATGTATTCATCTAGTCTGATCACATGCTGGAACTCTTCTTCTTTTGTGGAGAGTATCGAACTTATATTTGAAGGTACGCCGGATATCTTTGGAGGCGATAGTCTTCGCAACGTAGCTTTGGACGTCGTTAGCAAGCATGTACGCCAGCTTCTGAAGAGGTGCGAATTTGTTCAGTTGTGTGAAAAGAGAGGCGATATTGCTACTGCAATCTTAAAAGGTTCTCAGATGAATATTTGATAAATTATAGGATGGTATGTATCATGTATTTATCATACTATAGGCTGGATGAGCTTTGACGTGCTTTGATGGGTATACGGGTCGCTTTGACGATTGTAAGGAATGTGTGCTTTGTTTCTTGATGATAATTATGACAATAGTTGCAAATAAATACGATCACAAGTGCAATAACATTCTCTTTTTCTCAGAAAGAACACCGCTTTCATTCGAGATCGTAAGATCTTACAAGAATTGCTCAGATTCTGCCATATGGTACAGAATAATCTTCAAGTTTCTAGCAAAATCAATCACAAGTCCATGTAGCTAAAGTAGAGAAAACACTAGAACTCAGAGGGTGATATCTTCTGTCATCTCCCAGCCATGAATTGCTTTGACGGAGAACAGAAGGAACAAAAGGTCTAAATAACCAAAATTCATTCTTTGACTGATCGAGGAGTATAAGGTATGAGCTTCCACCAACTCACCGACGTAATATTTCTTCTGATTCAGCAGCCATGGGTATACATGAAATCGCAGAGTCCCAAGCCCGACTGAAGTAAGACAAGATGTCCGATTCGTCTGTTTTGACTAACTTTTTAGACTTTACAGATCAGGAGAAAACCACGACATTGAATTAAGATTTAGCCACAGAGTCCTCACTGCACACAGCGCAATCATACTACCTCGCTCCGAGATCCTCGCAAATAGAAGCGACCCAAAATGGAGTCTCACGACAGAGAATCGAAGGCAATTCGATATGACCGATGAGGACCCACTAATAGTAGAAGCGGTCCTTCTGTACCTCTATTCTTCCAATTACAACGATGACCCTGACGGTACTTACTCCAACTCAAGCACACCTGGTCATACACCACGCGCTCCCCAAGGACCCCAATCGCAGCATTACTTTCATCCCTCCACCAACCTTGGCGACTCGCGGCTACTTTTTAACACAAAAGTATACATCTTCGCCTACAAATACAAGATCGACACGCTGCATGTCTTAGCCGTCGATAAGTTCAGCACCATTGCAAATCAGGCCTCACCACCCATATTCCCGAGCATCGACATGCTCGATATACCCCCCGCATTTATTCAAGCCGGCCACTATCTCTGCGAAAACATGACAGACCCGATGGTTCGACAGGCTGACATGCTCTGGAGGATCATGAAGAGGATCACGTTTATAAATTATGGCATCTTGAAAAATTGGGAGATGGAGGTACGCGGAGGCGGGCAGAATCTTCTGGGATAGGCAGGATTTTGCGATCGAGGTGTTGGAGACGGGCTGGCAAATTTATGGGGAGATCTCGTCTAAGTTGAATGATAGGGAGCAGCAGCTTGCGAGGAATGATGGCTACAGGCCGTGAAGCGCTGGAATAGAGGCCATGGATTACTTGACATGGGGCCTTGATTGGGATTGAACTTGTAGGCCTAACTAGAGCACCGTAGAGATGGCATTTAACGCCTCAATTTCTAATCACTCTCCATATGAGGATAAGCTCTACTGAATTCGGTCAATGCAGCACTATGCTGCAATCTCAAATAATCTATGACGGAGCTCGCTTGATCCCAAGAGTCAATGATTATGCAAATACTGTATCTTCGCGCATATTCGTTTCCCATCTGTAAAAGAAATAAGTGTCTGTTTCAAAACAGTCCACTTCGTCAATAAATTGAGGCATAATGTCCGATAAGCAAAAATAATGATTCCTTGCTTTTGATATTTTGCAAGATACTGACCCCGTTCGAAATACTAAAGTCACGGGGGAACAATCGAAAGTCTTTGTGTTCTTACAATGTGACAATAATATACAAGTGATGTCTTGTTTTCTGAAGCCAACGGCTGATATTCACCATTCTAGCGCCGTTTACTTCTTTCCATTTGCCTTTACCTTTGGCTTTGCCTTTGGCTTTGTCTTCCTCTTGCTAACTTGTTTCTTCTCGCCCTCGGGTCTCCCTAACACACCCCTTGTCTTCTGGTATTGCAAGATAATATTCTGCACACTGCCCATATCATGCTTAGGCTTCCGCATGTATGTCAACCTTGCTCTTCTAGCCCTCTTCGCCTTCCTCTGCACCACTTCAATACCCTCCACGATCGGACTATATATCTTATACCACATCTCAACACCCACTCTCGTCAACTGATTTCTCAGCAGAACACCCGTCTCCACGCCTCGTCGGCGGATATTGATGCATACTCCAGCAAATGGATCGCCGGTTTTGAGACGTACGAGAAGAATATCGCCAACTCTGGCTGCTTCTGGGTTGGTTTTGAGGAATAGGTTGGTGCGGACTCCAGTGGGATCGAGGACGGCTATTTGTTCGGCGTGGATGTTTTTGAGGGGCTCTCTGAAGTGCTGCGCCGGTGATGGCGGTGGAGGGTACGTTTTGATTTTTCGGACAGCTATTCAAGGTATTAGTATACCAAGATGCTCAGTTGTAGAATCAATGGAGAGGACCGACCTTGAGTCTCGAGAGGAGTCTGGAGAGGAGTTTGCGACGCCGGCTTTGAGTGGTGATATGTGCTCAACGACCTCGAAACTACCTTCTGTTGTCTCGATTGTCGTAGTAGGAGTTTCCAACAGCTCAATGGCCGCAATGTGGGTATCATGGTTGCCATAGTTGTTGAGGTCTAGAATTTGTATTGAAGTGAGGTTCAATGCGACCAATCTGAAAAATTCTGCCGCTTTTGGGGTCACCGCCCAAACCGCCCAAACCTCCAAAATAATAATTTAATGAGATCCACTCAAAGTCACATAGATTGATAACGATCAACTTCCGCTCTTCATTTAGTGACCATACACTCTCACAAAGCTTCCTGGATTTACTCATACGGGCATTATGAGCGGAAAAGGCCTTTCTAAAGTCATTCGTGGCGGCGAATGCTTATTCAAACATGCGCCCCTAGTTTCGTCCAGACGACAGCGATCATTCACGAATTCTCCAGTATGTCCAAGAGCTGGTATGTGACTACAAGATGCTACACTATGTCTGTTTTATTGACTCGAGAGTAGGCCATGTTCCATCTTTTTTACCAACCTCCTCTCCTGAGCTTGACGACCTACTGTCTAAATACCGAAAGAACCTCTTCCTACCCGCACACCTTTCAGAGTACGATCAAGAGCTTGTATACGGGTCGAGACATGCACCAGCACTTTTGAGTGACCCAGTCAAGGTCCATATTGGTGAGGAGGAATTCGTCCTAGAGCATATAAACCGTTTAACAGATTTACCACACACGACCAAGGGATTTAGAAAAGTTCTCAACCTCATGACCGATAACAAAGATTGGGATAATCTGCCAAATTTACTCGAGGGGCTTCGCGATTGTAAGCGGCCCTTAACCCAACCATTATATTGCCAGATGATTCGGAAAGCCGGTTTAATGGGACGCATGGATGCCATTATCGAGTCGGCAAGAAGAGTTCGCGCTACAGGATTCAGCTTGCAAGATGAAGAAGTTGTCCAAACTGTCATGTATTGGATTTATCACAAGGCAAAGAACAGTGGTTTTGAAAAGAAAGAGACGAAACAGGCTCTCGCATGGGCGGAAATGGTGGTAGATCTACTCGAGGATCCAAAACATGCTGGACATAAGGATCCTTTCCTTGATACGGATGAGAATGACGTTCGGGCTCTTCCGGATGTCATTGGCATACTACTGGATTTGTCTGCAATTTGTGCTGCAAAAGAGACAAATATGAAAGATGTGGATGGGAAGGTCATGACTTATACTACAAGGCTGCTCGGGACGCCATACGACTTGAGCGCTGCCGAACTCAATTTGAATAGGCCCGAGGTACGAGTGTATCCAAGTTCCAAACGCGTCCATTCAGAACTGGTCAATGAATACAAAGATAATGGTGAAGAACGTTCTGCAGAAGATTTAGAGAAAAAGACTCTCCGGGCTAAAAATCATTGGCTTGTAGCTGCAGCACCGGTGCTGCATGGGATGAAAATAGCACTGAAGATTTTCGGCCCGGAAACAAAGGCGTCATCGAGGCTGAAGGCGAGCATATCTCAATTAGAGTCCCGAGTCAACAGGTACGCATCCGATCTAGAGGGAGTTTCTGCGGGCAATTTGGGCCTTAGGACTTATATCGATTTGTTTGGCTCAGAATCCACGAAAGTCGATTAATGATTGGCCGAAAACTTTTGTATTTGTATTTATTTGTACAATAAATTACGGAAGCACAATATACTTCTCTAAATGTTTAGGAATTGCTCCAAGGAGTTTCTTCTCCGATAGCCACTTCTTGGAGAATAACCGGTCCGCATATCTGTATGCTCCATCGCACAGCACCGTCACTACAGTGTGCCCCTTTCCGAGCTTTTCAGCTAGATCCTTTGCAGCAGCAACATTCAAACATGAGCTAGCTCCGAGGTACAATCCTTCCTCATCCAAACAGCGGTAAACCATTTCGATACTCTTCTCGTCACTAATGTGCATTGAGCCGTCTAATAAATCAATGTCCGGTTTTAGATTGTCTGTGACTCTGCCTTGTCCGATTCCCTCTGTGATACTGGAACCCGCTCTATCAACCAGCTTTCCACCTGACTGTATGTATGAATGTAAAACACTTCCCGGGGGATCAGCAAGGTAACATTTGACTCTCCCATCCGACTTTGTCTTCAAGTATCGGGTGATTCCAGCCAGGGTACCACCGGTTCCTGTGGCACAAGTGAAGGCATCCACTTTTCCACCGGTCTGATTCCATATCTCTGGTCCAGTAGTCTCAATGTGGGCTCGTCGATTCGCAATATTATCGAACTGATTCGTCCAAACCGCATTCTCTAGTCTATCCGCGTGTCTTTTTGCTTGATGATTGTAATTTTGTGGATTGTCGAAAGCCACCGCTGGTACTGGATACACTTCGGCACCCAGTAACCTCAGAAGGTCAATTTTCCCCTGGGATTGTGTATTGGGCATGTAGATAACGAGCTTGTAGCCCTTGGACCTGCAAACATGTGCAAGACCAATTCCGGTATTTCCAGCGGTTCCTTCGACAACAGTTCCTCCAGGCTGTAGTAAACCTTTCTCTTCGGCGTCCTTCACAACATACAGAGCTGCTCGGTCCTTGATTGATCCTCCCGGGTTCATGAACTCCGCCTTACCTAACACTTCACAGCCAGTTGCATCGGAGATATGGTTTAGTCGAATGAGTGGGGTGTTTCCAATTGCTACAATTCTTCAATTAGTTTCCAGGGCGCCATGAAGGAGTGAGATTCAAACCAACCTCCAGTTAAACCCTTTACCACGCCTTGAGCTTTGGAAACCCCAATGCCATATTGATTTGGGGCTTCCATTTGAGCGACATTTTCCGCAGCTCTTATAGCTGTAGTGGCAAAGCGTCGAACACCAAGTCTGAACATATTTGAAATAGTTAGGAAGAGCAATTTCACCAAACTTTTTGTATTTCCCGAGACCCTTTATCCGATTCTTGTTTGGCCCGATGTCGCTATTGGTACTTTTGTCCCGCAGGCGGGGTCTTATCGCTTATCGTGGACAACGACGGATGACTAAGCAGGGTAGGAAAGTAAACAATACAATGAGTGTAAATAAAGATGCCAAACTTCGAGTTTGATTCAAAAGACGACGACCTTCGTACGCTTTCATGCAACCCGAGTAAACACCTCTACACACCCATTGTAGAGCCTGACGAATATCGCGGTCGCTCAAGTCACTTACAGCGAATTTACGATCGCCAAACGAACGAGAAAAGCGCAATTTTTATACCACATCTGAACACAAGGAAAGCAAGATGCCAGGCAAAGTTTCTAGCAGGAGCTCGAGGACATCGGGTTCAGGGGCTCGCAAGTCATCCACGGCGGAACCAAGTAGTCGCCGATCTGCTGCTGCCAAAGTTTCAGCACCTTTTGTTGAAATTCCAGAAGAGACACCAGAGAACGAATTGCGAACGCAAATATCATCCATATTTCGGGATTCGCAAAGAAATACCGCATCACACAGAAAATTGGTTGTTAATCTGCGCAAGATACAGGAGGCGTGTTGCTATGAGCCTACCAGCAAGAAGAATAAGACTGGCGCGGAGGATTTTGATGAGGGGGAATTTACATATGAATTCACAAGATGCGTCCTAAGAGTGATGCCAATTAAGAAGAGTGAGAGCGTTGGAGAGAAGGCGATTCGATTCATTGGACTATTCTTGAGACATGCCAATAAGAAGGACAATGAAATGACCCCAGCAAATGAAGAGGAGGATGGAGTCTTGGTCGAAACACCAAGTACGAGACTAACGAGTCACCTCATGTCGACTATATTACCACTTTTGACGGCCAAAGAGAAGTTCGTACGATTTAGATCTACACAGCTGATCTCCCATGTCATAAATTCTCTCGACTCAATTGATAACGATCTCTTTCAGCAACTCCGACATGGACTCTTGCGCAGAATTCACGATAAAGAGGCGATGGTGAGAGTACAGGTCGTTCTGGGCCTTGGCAGATTAGCTGGGAATGAAGCAGAAGGGGATGCGGATGAAAGTGACGATGAATCGTCGGGAGGCTTGCTTGTAAAATTATTAGCGGTTTTGCAAAATGACCCCAGTGCCGACGTACGAAGGTCTCTTTTGATCAATCTGCCAATATTACCCAATACGCTTCCTTACCTGCTAGAAAGAGCTAGAGATCAAGATCCTGCGACTCGTCGGGCACTCTATTCTCGACTTTTACCAGCACTTGGAGATTTCCGACATTTGTCGCTGTCGATGCGCGAAAAATTACTACGATGGGGTCTTCGTGATCGAGACGAAAACGTTCGCAAAGCAGCGGGCAGGCTTTTCCGAGAACGCTGGATTGAGGATTGTATGGCATCAGCCGCAGTCGAGACTGCGGAAGGTGAGGCTGTCGAAGAAAGTAAGGTGCCAAACATGGAAGCGCTATTGGAGCTTCTTGAAAGAATCGACGTTGTTAATTCTGGAGTCGAAAACGGGGTTGCGCTAGAAGCGATGAAAGGCTTTTGGGAAGGACGACCCGATTTCCGAGATGCTGTCACATTTGATGATCACTTCTGGGACACTTTATCGGCCGAAGCTGTGTTTATGGCTAGAAGTTTCAATGACTTTTGCCGGAACAATGGCAATAGCAAGTATGAGGATTTGATCGAGGAGAAAATGCCCGAGGTTACGAAACTCGCGTTTTACCTTCAGAGGTATACCGCAGTTTTGGTAGAGGCTTTAAAGAGTATTGCGACACAGGAGATTACAGAGGATGTGGCCGAAGAAGAAGACACGGTAGAGCAAGAATTTATTGTCGAACAACTACTCCACATTGCTCGAACCTTAGATTATTCAGATGAAGTTGGACGAAGGAAAATGTTCACGCTTCTAAGACAACACTTGGCGATTCCTGATCTACCCGAGGAAGTCACTAAATTAACCGTGGAAGTCCTTAGGGGGATTTGTGCCGCAACTCCCGCAGGTGAAAGGGAATTCTGTAGTATTGTTCTGGAGGCTGTTGCCGATGTTCACGATACGGTCATGGATGAACAGGACTTCGAAGATGCGGAAGAAAGCTTCCATTCTACAAGGTCTGAAGTTAGTGACGATGACAAACCTGCTAGACGTGGTAAGAAAAAGGCTCCGATGACAGAGGAAGAAGAGCAAGAAAAGGCGGTCCATGAGATTATGGTCAACATGAAATGCTTACAAATTGTGCAATGTATGCTTGAGAATGTTGAAGGAAGTCTCAAGGAGAACACGGATCTTGTAGCTATGCTAAACAACCTTGTCGTACCAGCTGTGCGCAGCCACGAAGCACCTGTCCGAGAACGCGGTCTACTCTGTATTGGTCTCTGTTCGCTTCTTGACAAGTCTTTGGCCGAGGAGAATCTCGCCCTTTTCATACACTTCTTCAGCAAAGGCCACTCCGCTCTTCAAATTACTGCCCTGCAGATCTTGACCGATATGCTCAATCAGCATGGCGCTCAACTCCTGGAATCGAATCCTACTATTTTGACAAAGGTCTATCTAAAGGCTTTGAAATCGGGAGCCAAAGATCCCGAGGTCCAGGCAGCAGCTACCGTCGCCGTTTCCAAGCTTCTGCTAGGGCGTGTAATTACAGATGCCTCTCCCGCGATCGATGATCTTTTGAAGACATTGGTCGTTCTTTACTTTGATCCAAGCACAGCTCACAACCAAGGTGTCCGTCAGACACTGACTTATTTCCTACCAGTCTACTGTTATAGCAGAGCGGAAAACCAAGACCGAATGCGCGGTGTGGCACTAGATGCAATGCACAAATTATTCGAAACACAAGATGATGACGAAGATGCTGAGGCTGAAATGGTTGGCCTTGGAACAATCGGTGCGCATTTGGTTGATTGGACTGATCCTAGAAAATGCTACGTTCCTGGAAATCAACTCACGTTGTCTGATGAGGCGGCGAAAAAGGCAGTCAATGGAGATGTTCATCTTGACTTTGCTATGGATATTTTGGAGAGGTTAAATTCTTCTATGAGACGTAGGTTGCCCTTCTTATTTTTAATTGCTTCCAAACTAATCTGACAACTAAAATAGTGGAAGAAAAGAAAACTCTCACACCTCTTCTCGCCAAACTTCACATTTCGCCCGCTTCATCCGAGGATAAGCTTCGCGCCACATACGAGGAGATTAGCGAGGCCGTCGAAAACAAAAAGCTAGGACTAGATGCGACTGGTAGAAATGCCTTGTTCAAGATACATGTTACCCTTGGTAAAATTGTAAATGCTCTCGCGGAAAAAGATGTGAGAGAGGAAAGTGTATTGCAAGGAAGTGTGATGAGAGAAAGTGTGTTGGGAGAAAGTGTAAGGGGCGAGAGTGCCCCACTTGATGCTAGTGTAGGAAGCAATGGAAGTAGAGCTGGGAGTCTTGGTGTCCAAAAGACCCGAGGTCCGGAAGTGATAATGAAGAATCCAATCAAAGTGGAAAGCATAGAAGAGAATGAAAAAGAAAAAGTAAAAGATGAAGCAGAAGCAAAAGCAGAAGCAGAAGCAGAAGACGAAAGCGAAGGAACGATTGTTGCAGACCAAGAGGGAACGATTGTTCCCACCAACGAGGAGGAATCGTTATTGGAACAGCAATTGCAGGATAGTTTAGTCGATAGTCTGCTGGATGATGATGGGGATATAGAGATGGGGATGTAGGTATGTAGGACATGGGTGTTTATGAGAAACGATTGGGAATCTTGCGGTTGGCGTCGGATCGGCTTCAGTGCGTTGGATTGGATTTACGAATCTATGATTTACATGTCCCTTGTTATTACAAATTAAATCGGTTTTGATATATGTTGATGTGTCATCTTTGAATCATGTTTGAGGTTTGAGGTTTGGGATGCGTAATGTGTGGGATTAATATGCGTGCGCTGTTGATTGTCTTCGCTTTGAGTATTTAGTCTAGTGTACTTCGATAAAGGAGAAAATATATATGTACTTGGTAATTGGAGTCAATCATAAGGAAGCCGTTATAGTATGCGGCACACCTTTCGTACTGTAAGTTATCTCTGATTAATAAACATTAAATTCTCACTCCCGGTGAGCGCCAACTTCCAAGATTATATATCGACTCCCGATGAGATCTACAAATTATAAATTTGTGACCACTAATTTGGTCTTTTTCTTTTTTTGTATAAGGCTTTCTGCCCATTCTGAGGTCACTTGGTCTCGTAGAGAGATGATTAGACTAAGAATGGTTCCTACCCGTAATTATTTCTGTCTTTTCTTTTCTCGTCAAAATAACCGATTAGACGATATTCTCGACGTATATTTCTTGGATAATTAAGACTTTGTTTGTTTTCCGTTTGTGAAGAACTTTACAGTAGAAAATGTGATGTCGACATTCTTGTTTAATGGGTGGAAAGTGGAAAGTGGAAGGTAGAAGATGTAAGTGGTAATGAGATGTCTATTTTTTATTATAAAGTTAGATTGATACCATATGGCACTACTTGTTTATTTGATGAGTTCTCACAGCCAAATCGAACATGCGAGTAAGCAAATCGAAGTTCGAAGCCCCCTCACATCTCAACGCAATCTCTATATACCTCAGTCAGTACAAGATCCCAAATAGAAGTTTTCTGATCAATTTATTGATCGCTCTATTGGTCACTATGTTGATCACCAGTTACTACTAGATGTATGTCCAGATACATAACCAAACGGAATGGCGATACTGGTTAGATAAAGTCAAATCGATACTTTATAGACCCCGAAGGCAAGGGTCACTCGAAACTTTCGTTGACTGGATTTTGTGCTTTCTTGTGATCACTTTAATACTTCTTAATGCATTTGTTTCAAAACGCTTTGATGAATCATCTTAAAACAAACCTTCTTTTCCGTTGTCTATCTATACTCTCTTCTTCTCAATAAGTCCCTGGTGCAAGCCAAGCCTATAAATGTCGGTTCCTGGCACAAATAGAACTCCTATACACTTACCTACCGGGTTCATAACGATTCCAATGACTATAAACCATACCATCTTGTCTACAATACGAGTACAAAAGTTCATTACTCTTATAACTTCGATTTTGCATCTGTATCTTCAACCCATAATCCGTCCCATTCAACCTTATAGTATAAATGTTCCTTTTTAGTCGGCACCCGCACTTTGTGGTGTTCGCACGTGCAGTAAACAATCGATCCGTCTTGACTAGTCATAGTACCACGAAGCATTGCCATCGTTCTCCCGAATTGGATCACTTCGGCGTATATGCGAACTGTGGTGCCTAAGAACGATAGTTGAAAATAAATATTAGTGATTCTTGGAATATAACATCACTAGTGAATGGTCTCATAAAAATTCACATACAAACAGGAACAGCCTTCAAATAACTCAAATTAAGTGTCCTCGTCACACCACCCAGGAAACTATGGATCATTAGTACGACTCGAGCACCAAAAGGTAAAGACGAAACGTACTCCCAAGATCCAGGTTTCGCAACGGGACCCAGAGCAAGGGTCGTACACATATCGAATATGACACCAGCGGCTCCTCCGTGCATGACACCGTTGAGATTCGCATATTGTTCGCCGATCAGAAACTCAAATGTTGCGGTGCCGGACTCGGTGGCGTCGAGAATCTTAATTTCATTCATGATTTGCGAGTCGAAGCCTTGGAAGTTTTCGGATTTCGAGATTAGACGGTATCTGATGGTTGTTAGGTTTTAGAAGACGAAGGATTACTGGGGCGAAGGTTTTGGAAGTGAGAAGAGAGATTAGGATTGAAGATTGAAGAGTTCATGTGAAACAGCTTTGGAAGAGAATTAACTTTAAGACACATCAAATTCTATGCCCAAGAACTTCTTGTGGCGCGAATGGTCACTGATATTGGACGAGACTTGCTCGGAGTATCGAGGAAGAGCGTCAAACCTCGGCCGGTTTCAGCATATGCGTAAATTGTTGCATTATGTTCATCACATTCGCCACTAGACGCATATATAAACATCAAATTTACCATAGTGAGATCTAGAGAAAGTTGAAATAATACCTGTCAAAAATAGCCTCCACAGCTTTCACAGCCTCTTCCCGTGACTTCGCCATGTTGCTGCAGTTCCTCCACTCTCTTCCTTCCCAGTCCTGCCAATTCGGTTAACCTTTCAAGATGCTGGGATATTATTTGCTTGAGAGATAAAATGAGAGGTTGATGTTGAAACTTGGGGTTCAAATTGAATTGAGATCTCGAGCAAACATTGGTATACGAGCGACACTCTTGCCGAGGTTCGGATCGATCATAGGGAACTGTGAGGTTGTGGGGTAATCCAAGCGTTGTTCCGAGATTATGTAAGCATGGTTGGGGAACTTGACCCCTAGGGGTTTTAACGACCCATCTAATAAAATCACAGAAACGTTAGGAAGAATATCGCTTTTTATCGACCAAAACTCTCCGACAGCTCATTCGGACAGCTTGCAGGACTCAATTCGCTAGCAAAGGGACTCGATCGACTCCAACGTACTAACTTACACAATGGCAGATCTGCTTGTGTCAAATTGTGGCTATTTCTCCAGGAGGTGTATCTAATTCAAGGTGAGCAAAAAAAAGGAAATTATATCAATCTGCAGAATATCTCGGCGAATATACAAAATTTTACCGAGCAGCGGCTCCAACCAAAGTATCAGTCAATCTACCCTCTAATCTGAGCCTTATTTCATTCAGTGAACCTCGTCGGCCGGAGACATGACAAACGAGGGAGTCGTTTACAATGGCGATGACCAAAATTATGTGCAGATGGCAGTTTGGGAACTAAGAGGTAGTGACTATCTTAGCTCCACGTCGTTGATCAAACGCTACCATCACGACGTTTATTTTCATACTTACCATAACATTTCCTCCGACAACTAGCTGATTATATGGTCTCTTATACTTTGTCAACAAACCTATTCTCTAGTAGTCATTTGGTGGAGTTAGAAGATATCACCCGTATTGAGATCATATGGAAAACCAGACAATGAGGCGAAGGCGTACGAATGACTCATCATGCGTGTAGTGAATTTAATCTTTGTGGATTCCTTGCGACGTTAGGAATTAGAGAAACTCAAGGCGGGAGTTCGCCGAGAAGAAGTGAATATGATGTAGTAGGTGAGTGATGCGAACTTGCATCTAATGGTAACATCAATGTTCGAATTTAAATGAGTATCGAAAGGGTTTCATCCGATGGATTGAGGACACAATTGCAAACATGCAATGCTCATTATCTCAGCAAGTAATCGAGTTGTAGCAAAGATGGCAGCAGCGCTAAAGTTGGATCTTTAAGGGCTTTCATATAGAATTCTCGGAAAATTGTTGTAGATATGCAACAAAAGGTATATGGCCAGAAGCTAGATGGGATGAATCTTTGTTTTGCATTTCATATTCTCGAGTATTCGTCTGGAGGTTTCAGCAGATTATTATCATCATCGTAGATACACAACACTCAGAATTTCACTTTTCCTAGTTCAACATTCTTGAGTATTCATCCAGATTTCAGAACATTATTGTAGATATACGATACTCAATATTCAGCCAAAAATCCAGTGCTCCCCCCCGTCCTCTCATTAGCTCCGACCATTTGCGACTGCCTATTAGCTCTATACTCTCAGACTTGGGGGTAAATAAGGTTCGGGTTCCTGTGTTCCCCGAATCATTTTAACCGAGAATGGATTTTCTGGAGTGTTATAGAGATGTTGAACTTGAGACCGATGGGTTTGAGAGCATGTTCTTGTGTATACTAGCTTATCTTGAGGTTTTAGATATGCAACGGAATTGACTTGATCTTATATGATGGGTATAATTGATGTATACCAAATTCGAGTTGTTTGTTGTTTGGCTCATAAGACAACTTTCTTGTCTCAAGATTTGTCTCAAGAGTTGTCTGGAGACAAGTTCCGTAGTTGAACAAGATATACAACAAAATTAGCTTGCTTGATATTGATTGGTTGATTGGTATATATTCACTTTAGATCAGCAGTACACACAGGATCTCGGTCGTTAGGTAAGGTTTGCAATAAAAGGCAATTAGAATCTCATATTGAAATTGCGAACTACTTTCTGATATGGATTTTCTACTTCAGATATGCAAAAAAGTGTAGACCTAGCTATAATAGTATTTACAGGCCTTCCAAATCATCGGATTCATTAAGCATTCACTAAGCATCCACTTGGTTGATTATACTATGACAAAAGAATTTAATATCAACGTATGAATATGATTTGGGGAATATCGACGCTTTTTGTAATTAAAGTATTATTTAAACTTTGATTCCTTTGCTATTCATGTAAAATATTCACAATATCCATCAAAAAACCGCACAAAGCTATTGAAAGCAAGCTGTACACAAGCAAATCGCTCTTGCCAATATCAAATTAGATTTCAGCCAAATCAAAAGAAACCTTGGTATAATTAGTATCAAAAACGCAAAGAAAACAATAAATAAACGGTAGTTGCAATATAGGGACAAAATTAGTCTTATTCTAACAATCAATCAAGAACAAAGCCAATAACGTGGCGAAGACCAATTGTAAATCTAAACCATGGGGTTATCTTCCCAAATGTCCTCGATATTAAGATTAGGTAGTAGTAGTTATCTTTTAGTTTCTGAACGATTTACTCACCAGGAGCATCTCGATAGGTAAAACGAAACCACAAATCCCAGGTGCTGGGAAACACGGTTTCGTATCTGCATGATTACATTGTATTTTTTTGTAATCTGTTATATTTCTTTCTGATCTCGAATTCAAACCTCAATTGGATTGAGTGAATTAATTGATGAATGTATGAATATTTGTTGCTTGAATCATTACTGTCATTTAGTTTAAATGAGTACTCGAACCGAATGTCCAAAAAATGAAGCACCCTATGACTTGTAACTTACAAGTTACTTCTGTCAAATAATCCATAAGATTTAATGTCTCATTATAAAACAATCGGCAACGAAAATATAATTACAACCGGAAGCGAAAACACATAACTGACGAACTCTTCCTATTAACCCTCCTGCCGGTATTATCTCCAAAAGTAAAACCAATTGTCCAGAATAGAGGTGCTCCAGAGGTTCTCCCAAGTTATGGGTTGCATTTTCAGCGAGGTCGTAGTTCCTAATTTATAGAGAGTGGCAAAGGATTGAAGTCTGAAGAGAGCTCTATACTAATCGTGGAACTTCCAGTTGATATGAGGCTAGGCATAGGAAAATTTGAAGTAGCCATCAAAATAACAAATATCTGAACTAGTACTGGTAAATATAAATACGTAACATGGACGCAAAAGCCAAAACTCTACAAAGTTAATTAGGTTCGCATCATTGATGACAAGTAGGGTTCAACGTCTTTTGTTTTCCGTCACGGTCTCGGTATCTCACGTTTGAAAACGCTTGTATGAGCAGCTCATGGCCCTGAATTGAGCATTGAAAAAGGTGATGAGCGGATGGCAGGATAGCGGTATATATATGACTATAAGCATTGTGATGGAAGTGTTATAAGTATGACAACAACTTTGTATATATATACGTATAACCTCGTATAGCGAAAGCATTGAAAATAAATATCGACAGCAAGATTCCCAAACTTTGATCTCGTAAATCTGACGACAAGAACGATTCAAGGTGCCGGTGATCCATGATCACCAAGCCCAGAACTCTGACTTCTGACCTTAAAAGGAAATTCCCTGCGGTTTGTAAAGAACATATCCACAACGATTTCGAAGCAAAACAAAGGTTCAGCGGTATGAGTTAAGCAGTGAATGCACCTTGAGCGGCGAGATAGCAGATAACTAATAGCGATAGATGACGTTTGAGTAGACTCTGCTGTGATGAAGGAAATAGTAGTTGATCAAGTTGAAGTTATAGTAAATGTAAAGGAAGTTATCAGTGGAAGGTTGAGTGCTATAACATAACATCTGTACGGTAATAGTTAGTGAGAAGAAGTCTTAATACCCAGGACTTAAATGATAAGACGTCGTAGTCAACTACTAACTATCCAATTTTGATGATCTTGATAGGAAGAATGCAGAGACACTCACTTTACACAAATATAAGTAATGTTAATGAGGTTACTCAAGTATATTATCCTCGAAAGTATGAATAAACACCGAAGAATTGGGAACAGTGAAGTTTATCTCGTATAGTGCAAACGAGACACCCGAATCCTAAATCCAGATCCGTGCAGGAGCAGGAGATACAACAGATGCACCTGTGTCACTTCATCTGCCCATGCATCCATCTACTTATTGCCTCCATGTTTTGTGTTCTAAGCTAGGATGAACTTTTGACTTTTACTATCCATATATTCTCGTGCAAGGGAACTCTCCTCCAATCACCCGAGAATAGGAAAATAGTGATAACAGGAATGAGCCTCCTGGCAACAATAGCGAACAAGAAGATACAATAGTGCTAACACCTTTCGGTGTCGAAATAGCACCTGAAATATGGGTTGAGAAGATAAATCCTGTCAAATACTAAGGTGAGATATGGCACAGTTGTGTCAACCAGACAAGATGAGAAGCCAATATATTAGTCAGTATAGGTTCGGGTTTGGAGGTGGAAATATGTATTTGAAACTTGAAAGGTATTGGGAATCTTAAATAGGGAGACTGTGATTCATGTCCCACCTCACGCCTTGCGATCTCCATATATTCTGATTAATATTCACTCTACATATTGAAGAAGAATATCATTGCATTATGGCGTCACATTGGCGTGTAACACACATTTAGGAAACTGAACACACACAAAAAGATTAGTGCATGACCATATACAAAAGTTTACATAGATTACACAAATCCTCTGCCCTCAGGTCACCTCTAGCTATTGCTTTCACTAGTACGACGATGGCACATATAAATACAATCGATACTTCTCCAACAAAGCTTCAACTTTTAATGAAGTCAAACGACCGAGCAAGCAAGGGTAAAGCACCATGTTTGTGGGAGGAAATCTTGAGCAGTGAAAGATATCCCTGAATTAGAGTAGATCAGATCACGCACTGCACTGCAATTTCCTCTGCTGATAAGTATCGCAAAAGCATGTCACACCGACAAAATCGTATTTCAAATGACAACAAATCCAAGTCAATCTATAATTCCTCTCTGAACACATTTATTAGGACAGTAATACTCAAGCAATAGTGCTCAAGCCAAACATTGACAGCTAGCTAATACATGGCAACAAAAAACATCGAATTGCCGAACTTCAGCAAATACCATAATTCCTCAGCGCAATCCGTATTTCACAGAAAAGAAGATCCCAAGACCCTACCTTAAAATGCAAATATCCAGGCTAGTTTCCTATCAATTGGCTCTGGTTCTCTATCATCAGCCCTATGATTCAGAATTATCTCAAAGAGAACTATGCACGTCTATTTATTTACACAGAAGACTTGGAGGTTTTGTAACGATTATACTATATTCACTATTACAACCAATAAATTTTAGTTATGTTACAAGACAAGGACCTGTATTTTGAGAAACTTCCTACAGTTAAGAAATTCACTATCCTCTAATTGAGTTATTACTCTTGCTCTGAAAATATCAAAACAAGTATGTAATCCAACAATAAACGAAAGAAAAAGAAATGATGTCCCTGATTTCCTCGGTTGCCTGGCAGAACCCCAACCAACTATAGATACACTTCAGTAAAAAAGAAAGAAAAAGATAGTATCGACAGGGTCTCACTCATAAATAATATATCTACATTGGGCTTCCAGTACTCTTCAAAGCTATAGTTTGGAGAAATATTGAGAAAATAAATCTACAAGCGATCTATGAGTGAAGTGAAACGTCAAATACTTTGGAGATTTGGATTCAAGTTTGTACATACAACAGAACGCATTGCCTTTGATTGGGGCAAGTAACACCGGTATATACAGCGATGACATGCGTATGCTGGCTGTATTATGCATAAATCACATGATACAAGTCTAATATCTGTTCCATGGGGGAAGATTATTGTACTCGAGTTTTGTTCAGAAAATAATGCCTTTTAGCGTCAAATTTGTATGCATCGATACGTACGCTATTAACGGTAATTGTGAACAGATATGCCAGTACAAATGAGCAACAGACTTTCTCGGCGCGTTGATTGATCGATAAGTGATATCATTGGTGATTTTATCTGTAATCACGTGACATATCATCTTCAACTCGCCTATTCTGGTGGTTCAGGGGCTCGAATCGGCAAGTGTCCATTCAAGCATAGTTGTTTGAACATTGTTCATGTGGGGATATAATGGTCTACTATCCCTCACTCCTGTACCGAAAGACAGTATCAGGAAACCATCTGGTAAACGACTAACACATCAAAACAAAAAATCATGTCTTCACCAACATTTCATCGTTTCGCAGACCTCCCCGAAGAAATTCGACTCCGAATTTGGCAGGTCGTGGCCGAATGCATCTTAGAATCTCGTCGTGCCATCGTCTCCGACGCAACGTGGCAGTTCCCTAGAAACCTTGGGGTTCTCGAGGTCAACAGGGAAGCTCGCCGAGAAGTCCTGTTCCGAACTGGCCTGACAAGTTTCCGTCGGCCTCTGAACCCGGGCAGATTTTTCATGCGAATTCCTCTTCGTCCCGCACACGATTGGTCTAGTATGGAGCGCGATGTTTTCGTCATTGACGAAGACGAAGACATCCATATTGCACAGGGGTTCAGTCGGAATTGGAATATCATAAATGCCATCCAAACTGTCGCGATTGGAGAAAGAAACTTTTTTTCGCAAGCCTACACTCCGAGTTCCCGAAAAATGGTATGGGAAATTTTGATGGAACAGTACAAAGGGCTGAAAACCCTGGTATTCCTTCGGGATGATCCGGTTCAAGAACCAACAAGCTATCGACAACTCATCCATCGCCCTCAGGTTTACTCACACGTTGATTTCAGAATCACCATTGATCCTAATCCAGTTCCACAGCTGTATTTGGATCAATTTGGACTTACTGTCCAGTTTTTTTAGTAAACTCACGACCGAGATTCAAAAAGACCGACCTGAGTGGCAAATGCCCGAGATCAAATGGGGATGTTTGATTCAAAACCGAACTGAGTAATAACTTGACAGAACACCAACGGACACACATTCAGATTGTAAACTTAGACAAGAAGTTGAAATTGTGGAGTTGGTATACTGAATTTGGGATAACTTAGAAAAATACCTGAACCCCTCAAAAAACAAGTCAAAAACAAAAACCTCTTACAAAAAAACTTTGAATTTTGGAGTTGGTGGACTGAATTTGGGATAACTTAGAAAAATACCCGAAACCCCCAAAAAGCGAGTCAAAAGCAAAAACCTCTTGCAAAAAAAACTTTGAGATTTAGGAGTTGGCGTTGATTGCACACAAGTAAAATGCGTTTGACGGTAAGTATTCCAAATCCTAGCACGGGGGAACAATTGATAAACAGGAAAATATAATTAACTAAAACCCAAAAATACTATGCCGAGACCTCGAATGTGATGAATGGAAATGTGTAAAATAAATAAATGTTCGTTGTAATTTGAGGGATGGTAATGGTTGAGCTTTGAATGACTAAGCTGAATGACTAAACTGTACTCGTAGAAACTTGAGGGTTTTGCCAAACTAATTGATTGGAGATCCAACCACTCACTGGTCGAACTCATCTGAGGATTGTGCACCATGCATCAGGGATCTTCATTAATCAGGTGCGGTACTTCGATCAATTTTGGGTGACCTCTTCAGCCCCACTGTCGGTATCTTGCGACGACAATCCATATGAAGTTCCTTGTACATCGTGAATAAGCTACCTATGGTGAGGACTACCGGTACTAAAGACAACAACAACTCATCCAATCCGGGCGAAGAGAGCTATCTATTGACAGTAATGAATAGCCCGGAAGATCTCGGGAACTTGGATGCTCGTGAACCTCCAACTAAATATGACAAACGGATGTGGATTTCGAAAGCGTTGTAAAGACTCCCTCCCGCACGCGTATTTGCAGTATATTGACAATGACAATGACACACAGTGGGTAAAGAAGAGCCGAATCGGTAACCCTTGATTTGCAATCAGCAATACTCGAGTAGAATGAATGCACTGACACTTTCTCTCGATATAAGCTTTAAACAAGGTTATAAAAGGGCGGGGGAAAGTGAGACACTCATTTAGACCTCCACAATAGCGATCTACTTTGCATTTTGGAACTTGTATCACACAGCGCTTAATCTAGCTGTGCACAGGCCGTTGTCAGTTCAATGAGAAAGGTACGGGTGCCTCTGTGTGCCAAGAAGTCTTGACTCTCGTTGGATTGAGGTTAGAGAGGAACATATTAGGCAAACGCAACTGCTTAAAGGAATTTCAAATTCAATAGTATTGAGGGTGGTTAGGATCCAGTGTCACCACTTATCGAATGCATCGATTTGGATATAAGAAGAACATTTTGTGATAGAGCATCGAATCGAAAGACATGATAGACTGATAGTGAAAGGGTGAATTTCTGGGCGAGTATTTGATGACATGGAGTGATTCAGACATACAAAATCGATGGTCGTTGCTTGGTTTGTACAGCTAGCTTCACTTGCTTGTTTGTTCGATTGCTTGTTTAGGTGCTGGCTTCTACAGTATCTTGAAGCAAATTAGCCGATGAGAACGAAGGGACTTCGGTATCGTATATGGTGGGATGGATGACAGAATACATTCTGTGAACCCTCCATTTTTTAAGTAGAAGGATACGGTAACTGGCATATACGAGTAATTAGAAGTGCTTTGATGATCGATACCTAGTAGATCCAAGTTCTAACGACTCACATTACATTGATCATGACCTCTTAGACGCAAAATCAACAAGGCTCTTGTTGTTGGAACTTGGAATTGATCCTCCTCGCAGCAAACAATTCAAAGTCACATTGACAGGCATTAAGTAAATCTAAAATTAGTAACAAAAGTTTGCTTCCAACATCTCTTTAGACTCTTTGGGATGCATTGAAGCTTTGTGGTTGGAATACATGGATGATCTCAAGGAATTAAAGGAAGTTCGGATGGTGATCTGCAAGATATGAAACGTTCAGCAACCCTGTTGAATGTGTTGAATGTACCAAACAATGGAATTAACGTTTATTTCCGTCAATTTAGCATCTATCTTATTCAGAGTGCAACAGGTACAGTGGTACTTTAGTAACGGGTTGGGGGCTTGATTTTGATTACAGTAAGGTAAGTACAACTCCTCAGTGCTCACTCATACATGTTGCCTGTAATAGTGAATTCCCCTATTTTTATTTGAAATGTAAATGGATCTGGCCTCATCTCAATAATTCAATCCTATACTCAAAAGGTTTTAATAAAAGGTGGAAGTCCGGAGATTGTTTAGCATTTTCTACTTAAAGATCATCCTTTCAGGCTCTTTAATTCGCTTCCTCAGGCTTTAGTATAACCCCCGAAAAAAAGGGAATTCAACAGGATATCCCTGTCAATTACAACAACTCCTCCACCAACCACCAAAAGGTTTACAGAAATAACTAAAATCCTTCCCTTTAATAAATCATCTCCATCCAAAGGGGTGATTTTTATAACTTTTCAACCTGGCGAACTTCATCATGAAATGGTTCAGAAGAAAGAAGAAGCCAGCCAAAGAGCCGTCAGATAAGCCAACACTTGTACGCAGCTTTACAGACAGAGCAACGAATTCGACTTATCCCGCAGCACCCTATGCAACCCCGCGTGGATCTAGCATAACCAAGCTTCCCGATAAACTTCTCGAACGCATCTTCATACTTATATGTCCTCATTCTCAAGACGAAACTTATGAGACTTGCGAACAATCTTCCCTTGACGATTGTTGCCCATTATGCGATACAAGAGATTTGGCACATTGTGCGCGAGTCTCAAATAAATGGAGGAATGTCGCTGTTCGGGTTTTGTTAGTATCCAATCCAACAAATTGTGCGGAGTGTTCAATCAAGCTAACCGCTCATTGCGCAGATATCATAGTGTTCGAATCGATGCAGTACATTTCTGCGAACTCGAAGAGATATTGTCAGAAAAGAGAAAGCATAAAGGTCGATTTAATCGCAATGCCGAACCAGAGGAAACCCCTAACGTTAGGTTACAGCTTCTTTGCAGAACGATTCGCGATAATAGAATGTTGGGAGAGTTGGTGGAATTTCTCAAAACACCATATATGACAAGAGGAGCCTGTAAAGCTGATCTTGCTCGAAGCGTCTCGGTTTGTCCCAATATGCGATATTTGGATCTTCCCGATGGTTTATTTTCAGATGATCCTTCTTGCCATGCGCTCAAACTCGAAATTCAAGCGCGATGTCCAGATTTGCGAAAGATGACCTATATGACTGGCTCTGAGGGAAGTCTTGAACAATTGGCAACTGGTAAAATCTGGAGACATTTGGAGGTATTGGAATTCACAAGACTCAATATGGATCCTACAATTATACGACGTGCTTTGGGGTCATTGACTGGGCTTCGGGCTCTAAAGGTCACGGATACAAAGACGTTCAACGATGAGATTTTCCAACATAGCGATTATCTACCACCCTTTCCAGCGTTCACCGAATTGGTCTTTGAAAACACACCTAATGTCACTGCAACGGGATTGGAAACATATCTATTCCGATCCGACACACAAGAGAAACTCAAGAATCTCTCCTTGACAGAAACAGGTATCCATCCTTCAACCTTGCACAAGATTACCGACAATGCTCCCAGATTGACATTCTTGTCAATTATTGAATCGGTACAAGCATCTTTTCCAGCTCTCCAAAACATCCCACCGCTTTCCTCAACTTCTCTAGTAACCCTACACTATGAAATCACTTCCTCGTCATCCGCAAACACATTCAAGAGCGTTGTACAAAGTCATTACTCATACCTCACTACCTCCTTAATTTCCAATCGACTCCCTGCGCTTCGAGCCCTTTACGTCCGCGATAGCGATTTCCCCGAATCTCTTATCGATCTCGCACCTCCAGCTCCGGCATATGCATCTGATCCAGATAATTTCGTACCGCCTAACCCCTTCGATCGTTCCTCTGTTGCATCTTCTGCAACGCATAATAATAAACGATTCAGTTCCAACAATCCCTTCGCAGCTCAAGCTAGCTTGGCCCCAATGATGCCAACTGGAATGGGACTCAAACAAGAATTGGAGGTATACAGTAAAGGTCTAGATGAGATGGAATGGAATTTTGCAAGTCCAACCGCCAACCGCATCCGGTAGGAGAGGCTCAGCGACAACAGCACGACCGATCAGCGGCTATGGGCTAGGTGACAGTATGGGTAAAGCATGGGCTCCAGGCCATGGCGCAAGAAGAAGTGTTATTGTCGGGAATGGATTCGGTGGTTTCCTCGCTGTACCCGCAGACGAAGCTCCCAGACCCAGCAGTTCAGGTGGGGAAAAGAAGAGACATGCCAGGAAAAATAGCACCCAAGATTTATGGCGGTAATTGGGGCGGACTTATCTTTGGATTGATCTCAACTTGGATGGTTTTCATTTTGGGTGGCTGTTATGATCATACATGGATTTTGTTGCTATAGGGAAAAGCCAGGTCCGGTGGCACATTTTATTTGGGGGTTTCTTTTCTAACTGTGAGCGGGACAAGCTCACAACCATATTACGTAAAGAAGGATTTATGGAGTACACCATGGACATTTACGTTGAATATTACTTTACTACCTTACCTTGCTTGCTTGGAGCGTTTGTGTTTAATACCCTGAAGGCGGCCCTTATGGGTTATGAGTTGAGAAAGGAGATTTGAGAAGGGAGAAAGGAGGCGATAATTGATAGTTGATGGTTGTTCGGTTGGTGAGATGGTTGGTGCGTGGAATGGTTGGTGGATATGATGGGATAGGGTGGGGTGGTTGATAGTTGATGGTTGATAGTTGAATAGAAAATGACTTTTTTACTATAGCCTGTGGGCAACGATGACATGATGTTGATATTGATGATGATCTTGATTTATTGTGAAGTTGTTGAACACACACACTTTCTGAGAGAGCTATTGGAGAGAGGTGAGGGGAGAGACAGTTGTTGGAGAAAAGGATAGGGAGAAAAAGAGTTGTTGTGAGAAGTTACCAAAGGGAATAGCTGGAGAGAGTGGAGAGAGTTGTTGGAGAGAGTCGTTGAAGGGAAAAGTTGGAGTAAAAGAGCTGCCGGAGAGTGTGGGGAGAATTATCGAATAGAACACGAGATATACCACAGGAGTAAGAGACGAGAACAGCTCCTGAGACATCAAATCCCGTCTCGCCCCGTAAACTCCCCATTCCTGATCGCACAGTCTGGTTTGAGATGACGAACATGATGATAACATTATTTTTCGGTCCTCGACTGATTATATCTGTTGAGTGTTTGACGTCTCTTTCTAATGTCTCGGGAATATTTGGATCCATTGGATGGATTGGATGCTACAAGTGTAACTAAAGAGATTCATCGTTATTATAGCGAATAGCAGTAGCTTCCTCGCTCTTTTCCGCATAGATGTCGGTTTGGAGTGGGGAATCTGGAACTCGGAGAGATATTGATGCAAAGTTGTATCGGTGCGGTATCTGTCGCTTTAATCTTATGCTAGAGAGATGTTGTGTTTCAGTTAGGCAGCTAGCCATTGTGCGAGAAGGGAGAAAGATACTACTGTAGTATGGTATGTTCCTGGTTGTCAACCTGTAAACATAAATGGTGCTTTTGCGAAGTTTTGCGAGTGTCTGGTTTCTTCAGTGCAGTACAGTATAGACAGGGTTTGATGTTCGGAATCGGGACAAGGACTAGTGGTTCGTTGGCCTGTATTTTGCGGTGACTACGAGTCTGTCTAAATTCGTCGAGTGGCAGGTAGAGGATGAAAGTAAAGCTGGTCCGAGGGCTTGGGTCGATAGCGGTTGTGATTGAGGTCTGGGTTGGGTTCAGGATGGGCGGTGCTGCTTCCTGGAATGGATTGGGATCTCGATTACTTTGAAGGTTCGCATTGTTAGGACGTAGATGATGTGGTGGCTATACCTGTGAAATGGATCGGACGAATGATGGAAGTCGAAAGTGGGGATTCGCGAGTTCGGTGGTGGATATTGAGGATCTCAGTACGAATCCAACTGAGCGAAACCATCCGGACAGCCGCCTTAAGAGCAAAAACCGAATATGATGCATTGTTCCGTGCGGTTGAGAAGCAGGCAATGATAACAGGTCATCTGTGTCGGGGGTGGAACAAGATCATGAAGCCCGTGAAACTTCGTATAGCGGTAACAGACGGGTTAAGCGTATATGTAAAAGGGTGCAATATCGACGCCAAATCGATGTTTAAATCCTCTCACCCCCACACCCCCCGACCCCAATGCTGGCCTGAACGAGCATTATGATTGCCAACAATATCTCAAATGGGAACTATACGTGAGATGTCAGTCTAGAGTTTAAAGGCCTCGTACCATTATCGTCAACGTCACCATGGACTTTGGCATATCTTATCCCTGACAAGAATCTCGCCGGGACCTGATTCAATTTTGAAAAATCCGAAATTCTGGACCGGATCGAAGCTTGATTGAGGATTATTCGGATAAATCTTTGGATGGAACAATGAATCTTGAACACGAAATGTAGGAGTATGGGTATGGGCCAGTGGCTATGACTATGCCTAAACTCTGCGTGTGATTGTATGCCAAGTGCGTTGCGGGTTGGCTTGTATGCATGGTAATGGGTGTTCTATCGATGTCGCCGGAATTCGTGGATGCCTATCTGCCGAAAGAGAATACAAAAGTAAGGGATTAGCAGATACCTCTATTTGATGATCAGGAAATAATGAACATATACTCTTGGGAGATGGTATCCTTGTTTGCGGAGGGCTGCGGGCGCTCTTTCGTTTCCTATGATATGATACAGAATAGTCTCGTGTCGAATTTGCGGAGGGGGGATGGCTTGTAAATTGCGGATGCCAGAGGTTGCGATTGGGAGGTGACGAGGATGCTTGTGAGATGATCTAAGTCGAGTTGAGATGGGGAGAAATTTGGGTGTTGGGTTGGGAAGATGGATATCGCTCCAAACCTAAACGCCTAAACGCAAGCGTGATGATCTAACCTATATTCCGTATGGTCACGTGATGAGATTCGGATTGGGAAGGCGTATTTGGATGAGATGGATGCTCTTGGTGATATTTGAGAGGCATATGGAATGGTGTCGGATATACTTTTCGATCGGTGTCCCATTATTGAGATCATTGATGCTGTTCGGGGGATTATCGTTCGATAGGCTCCGAAAATTGAAGCTACACATTCGTCAGGAGGGAACCGGAGACGCCAAAAGGATCTTTCCAGAGGAGAATGGAAATCAGGAGAATACTGTAAGAAGAGCAGGTACAGCAAGGGACTCGGTGATTTTATCGCATGCTGTTTAGATTTTACATCTATTAGATCGCACGAAAGAGCTTCTAGAGCAAAATGATTAATAAGAGGATGGTGCCTGCTGCCTGCACCTGCTGTATACCAATTTGCAGAGCACCTTCCTGCGAATGTGGGAAGTTATTTCGTATGGGATGGACACTTTTGGGGGAAATACCTGCTTGGTTAAGAAAGTCATTCGTATCGATGATTGAAGACAATCCCTAAAATACCGGATGACCTTATACGTTCTGCGGGAGTAATTGTGGTGGTTGAAGGGAAAAGTCGTGCGGTATTCTATCTCATCATATCCCAATTTGAAACCATCCAGATCTAGCTGTACGCCAGATTGTGAATGTGCCCAGTTTGTTTCGGGTCTATGTCACGGTAGCAGGCTCTACGGTTCTGGTACGAGATATGGATAAAGATACAGAGGACTGAATTTGCGAGACATGCTATCTTTATCAAATCATCGCCGCAGATGTGTGGTCTCTTTTATTTCATTCGATGATGGAGCTCGGGGCTGAGATATACATCTTGTGGTTTATATATCATGTTTTTTCTTCCCTGGTAGGTTTTCAGAGACACGGGAGTCGAATGGTTTCGCCGGAAATACACAAAATACCTGAAGAAGACATGCGTGATTGGTCTTAAAGCCTGAGAACAAATACTCGAGTAGATAGAAAGGCATATTTCCCTATCTATTCCACAAATACTGGTTGCAGTAAAGCTAAGGAAACCCGTGACGGGTACCCCTCTCTGTTATTCAAACAAGTTGACTCAGCTCGGATCTCGGACAAAGTGCATCATTGTACGGGGGGTCTCTTACGTAATTTTTCCACCACTGGTCATTTATATTTCCACCCAACTCTCATTACCTTCATATTGATTTTCACTGATATTAGCCTGTATGAACATTACGTGAATACATTAAATCAAATAGCCCCAGGTTCAATTCCTGGATTCGGAATTCTTCTTATTTTTTTGCTCTTTTGTTTTTCAGAGGGAACACAGTAAAAGAATCTTTGGTGGTGGGTGGCTCAAGAACTAGAGATTCAAATGAAATACGTGCTATTCGGGATATTCATGGGTTTGCTTTTGCTATAAATTTGACTGTATCCGACTATACGTACGCCGATTAGAAGGTGGAGATAGTTGTCGTTATACTTGTGCTCAATAGTCACAGTGGCTCCACAGACCCTCTCTTTTCAATTTTAGATTTAGTCATTGAGATACTCGAGGCTCTAGTATACCCCACTACCCCAGGTTATTAGCCTAGTTCGGTTAGTCCAAAGAAATTTTTGCCGAACCCCCTTAATCAAGTTAGTTGAGTTCTTGGCAACGTCTAAATTGTATCTATGCAGTGCAATTGGTTGGAAAATTGGGATTGTGATTTCCGGAGTCAATTGTGAAGCTACTGTATATACACAGCTTACTTAATAAAGTTCGTTCTCGATTTTCCTCGTATCTTTTGCGAATTTCTAGTCCTGATTTACTACAATTCGGTGAGATGAGGAACTATTACCGACTTGTGGGCTCCACACCGATAGTTCCAGACACTTGGGTGGGTTTTCTCCATTATTCTCCTCCACCTCCTCTCGAAAATCAAGCTTAGATTGTCATGGCCCGCATAGAGGATACTCCCCACCTAGATGGTCTAGTTGATCACTCAAGAGACCCGTATTTCGATCCTCTTTGGTCGTTTTGTCTGTCTTTTTCTCGAGGGAAGTCACTCGTATCATAAACCGTACGCGATAGATACCCAGCGAGTGGACTGAAGGAAAAATTGTACTGCAAAGGCCTGTAGAAAAATATTAACACCTACATTATGCGTAAAGGTTATTGAAGAAAGTATGGAAAAAGGATCCATATCTACATTTTACCAATCCATTCCATGATAACTTTTTGAATAAGTATGAAAGGTCGGTCATGTACAAGGAGTCATTGGGTGGTTCAAAGCCCGATGGTAATTAGATATTAGGCTGTTGATTGATTTCGTACACAGTATGATTGTAATGGCTATCATTTGTTACCTCTTCGCAATAATTTGAAACATTAATCGTCCTTCATAATTGTGTGTCTACTTGATGTGTAC